TCTAGTTCGTTTTAATCATATTTCGTGTGTGGGTATATATCTACAATATCTCTGACAGGTTTGAATATCAGAATGATACTATATTTCCATAGTTCCACCCTTGATGTGTATGTTAAAAATGGCATGTGAGCACTAAAGAAGCCACAGTTTTTGTGGATTTTTATTTGATGTGTAGGTTCATATCCATAAAGTCCGAATTTGGGCATGATTCGACAAATATTGACAGAGTTGCAGCCCTTGATATATACTAAAGAAACGTTAAAAGTTGTCTATAATGGCAATAGATGCTGATATCAGGTTTGGTGTATAGGTTTATATGCATGTTTAATATTATGGTGATGAGTTCGAATCTGAGCACCATCGGAGATATTTCTACAGAGATATAGTCTTTAATATTGTGGAAATTTATCGGGTAAGTGGGTGTATATTGGAAACCTCTTGTTACACTTTCACACTACTATGAATCCTTGGATGACGGATCATACCACTTAGTGAGACAAAAAACTTAAACTCAAACTTGCTCAACAAATGTATATATTCATCAGGTTCCATGACCAAAGAATAGAATCTCTATATAAGACGATATATCCATAAAACTAAATAATTATTGAAACCCTAAGAAGTAGTATACATTTAACGCATTTAAGCAAATATTTCTCATAAAACATTCATTATAATATTCCGATATTTCAGCATTCGTTGAATTGCAAACAGATATGACAAACATTACAGAAACTCTAGTGGAACACGGAATACCGTTTAATCAGTTCTTAACTTACCTCTTTCCTTTGTTATTTCCTCACCATGCTGTTAAGAATATAGAGAATCACCATGCTTTGTGTGACTTACAGGTAGAGAAAGTCTACAATAATCAAGCTTTTATCATGCATAGAATAGGTACTAATGAGACTATTAGTGCCATTTTGCATCTTTAATTAATTGCATATCTTTGAAAGTTCCTTTATTGAACAGTTAGCTGAATACATTCAAGTATGGTTTGCATAATATATGTAATATACATTCAATTATATAGTTAAAAACGAAATAGCATTGATTTATTTGTAACGCAGTTGAAAAAATCAGTCACTGACTTCGGGGTCTAGACTGAAACTCTCGGATGCCAAGTAAAACAGATCAGAAGCACACGCCACACTGAAAAGTGATATAGATAGTTAGCTCTATTTTTCCTTTCAAGTATTATGTTATTTTTTGTTTTCCTAGGAGCATGAAGGATCTGAAGAGGAGTTAACAGAGACTATGATTAAACTGGACCAGTTAATCAATAATAAGTTCTTTATAGTATCTGTAATAAAGACTTTAGATTATCAACCACGATTTAAAAAGCTAGACAGGTAAAGAAAAACTATACAAGTTGTGTGTTTAAAGTTGAATTTATTAGGAAGTCAAGTCGACCCTACGACTAGGTAGAATCTGAGAGCGGCTGAATTTTTCACACTTGATAGTAACAGTGCGTCAATCGCCTGATCTAACAAACCTGAACGACGATCGTAAGACCAGTTGACATCAGACGCTCAGGCTGTACAATATCATGTCCATCAAATGACATGAAGTAAATGTGGTGTAATTCGTGATAAAACAGGCAATATGGATATTTTGATATATATCTATTTAATTTACAGGAATGAGTTTGCTAGCTATTTATCATTATTACTGATGAAGAGAATGGATTTTTATACAGAGTATGTTACATTGTTATTTCACATTTTATTAGGGGTAAGGTGTCGAGGTAGAGCAAGAACTAGTGCCTTACGCAATAAAAAGCCTCCAAACTGTGCAAGAGCATAACATTAGGTCAATGAAATCTGTATTAAAAAGAACTATACCATCATAGGCACCAGATTCTGGTAAAAAAAAATTTAAAATTTATTTTCACCAGATTTAGATAGCTTACCATAGTATAAGAGATTTTTTTTTTTTTTACCAAAAACTGGTTCCTATGAAATTCAAGCACAGATAAATATTGCCAACTATGGATCATCCAACTGATTTCTTTCAAAGATCTTGGGATTTTGTGAGTAATCATTGCCAAATATCAACCCATTGTAATATATAAAAACAGTGAAAACTCTAGCCTACAAATATAGATTAATATAAAAAGATACAGTGCTTTTTTTTTAAAACATAACATTAACTTAACATTTCCTCGTTCTTGTAGTATTATTGAAATATTGATCACCAAACTTATACACGATGAAAAGGACAAGAAATCCAGAGATTTATTTAGAAGGTAACATAATTTGATTATCAAAAGAAAAAAAATACTATTGATCACACTATCACAATTTTCATCAAAGTGGAATAGTAACATGTTTAAAAATTTATCAGAGATTAATTGTGTGTCATTTTGCACAATAATAACATCATTTCGACGGCGAAACATGAACACTATTACTGATTGGCATAGCAAAACAATTTCCGTTTCCCGAGACTAGAGTATGGTGGTTTAAAAGAATTTGTCCCTTTAAATGAAAATTAAATATTGATATGAATAAATATTGATGATTATTTTATGACTGCAGATGTGAAACTATTAGTGAAAAGTTAATAATCAACTGGTTATATATATGTATGTTTGATTCATTGAAGGTATGTATTCAGATTATAATAAGGATGACAGTGGTTCATTATTGTCGGATATCTTTATTCCATAAAATCACACAAAAAATATTTTACTTGCTATTTTGGCAAAACCCTTGACCATGTGTGTTTCAACTGTTATCAATGGGTTGCACAATTTAAAGTAAAGGTTTTATCAAAAGTATTATATAGATTATTCAAACATTTTTTCACAAATGAATGATTATATCTGATTGGATCGTCACCGAGCCATGAAAGAACAATACATATTTGAAATTAGCAAAGCGATTCTGTTTCAGAAAAGCTCTGGACCAGCCTTATTCATGTTATATAAAGCCATAGAAAATTTATCAATGAGGTGGCCAACTGATGCAGTAACATTAAAATCACGAGCTACATTATGTCAAGATAATTTGTTAACAACAAATGTAGATTCAGAAGAAATAGTAAGTTATTTTCTACAAGAACAACAACTGTGTACGATAACTTTCGAAGATCTTAAATGTTTTCTTATTCTACATTTTGAGACGCTCTAGAATTACATGAAATTGGAATGGTGTATATAGAAATATCGCTCAACAATTGATGTATGGAGCACTATTTTATCATTAAAAATATTTTGCATGCATATAGAAATATATATGACAATTACACATTATAAGGCCAGCTAACCCCAAGACAATCTCTTTCATCATCAAATTTAGATCAACTTCATATTGACTGATCATTACAATCAGCTCAACATCCCACTAGAAATTCTGATCCTCATCATCTCAAGCTAAATTTGAACATAATATTCAGCTCATTGCTATTAGTTCAACATCATATTCAGCTCATTGTCATCATATCAACATAATATTTAGCTCATTGTCATTAAATCAACATAATATTCAGCTCATTGTTATTATATCAACATAATATTCAGCCCATTGTTATTATATCAACATCATATTCAGCTCATTGTCATCATATCAACATAATATTCAGCTCATTGTTATTATATCAACATAATATTCAGCTCATTGTTATTATATCAACATAATATTCAGCTCATTGTTATTATATCAACAACACACACAGCTTGCTCATAATCCACTTATTTCCACCCATTAACTTATTCAGCTCATCATTATCATACTTTACTTTTTCAGGTGATACATGTTGAAGTGAACCATGGACGGTGTAAAACTAATTGTCGAATTTTAGATTGTGATTCTATATCTCAAGTAAAGAGTAAATGTATCAATGCTATTTATTTGAGAGAAATGGGTTCTGAAAAACCATCTGTGGACTCTGTTGATCTAGGTACTTCATATTTTATTCTTAAACTCTAAACTTGCAGTGACAACTCTGTTAAGCATACGTCATAACCTGATGCGTGATCTTTTGATTCATAATTATCATTGTTAGAAATTGGAAAAACACAAAAAAATTAGTTGTAACATAAGCCGTTGATGCAGTCCAAGGAAATTGTTTACACGTATTCTAACCTCAACTATAGAGTATATTGATGGCTTGCATGTTACAAAATATTTCATTGATTTAGAGTGGCAAGTTGGAGGGTGTAGTAAAATACTTTATGATGAAGACTTGTCCAGTCTGATTGAAAATGGCTACCGAAAGTTGAATACACCAAAACATTATGGAATAACAGATGGTTCTACAATTTGTTTACTCTCAAAAGAAATTCAGATAGCTGAATCTGATTATGGTAAGCATATCACATTATTTATAATCAATTATAAATCTCTAGAGAAGAACTATATTGTCAAACTTGACAAAACAGTAGTCTAGCTGATTATTTTTCGCAGACAAGATAACCATGTCGAACCAACTGAAAATGGGTTAGGATATACGATATTTTCGATTATGAATCTTCTATTAAAACCATCTTTGAAATAGTATTGCCTTCATCTTCCTAACTTGTGATTGTTTTGCAGCCAACGTAGCAACGACTATTGAAGGTATAGAATGTGAGGATACCGAGTCAACAGAAAGAGTACAAAACCAAGATCTTGAGCCACTACAAGTTTTCCATTTGGTATAAACCTTTTACCATATATTAAACTATATACATTGCTTTGCCATAATTTATAATTCGTATAAATTGTGGGGTGGACTTTAAACCCTAGCCCCCTACCGCCCCTTCTATTAATAAAATTTGCGCAAAAATTAGTATGTTTATCTTAAGGATGGCAGATTTCATAATACGAAACAAAACATTTTCAATTTAGAGGAATTTATTGTTGAAATGAAAATTATTATTTGATTCATTATTTTCCTTTTTCAAGATATTTTTCTTCAAGGCATGATCCAAATAACATTAATCCTATTTCAACGCAAAAAAATAAAATGGAGCCTATATTAAAAAACTTTAATCCTGTGATTTTCAGAGTTACTTTCCTTAACAGTCGCCTGCACCCGTATGTATCGAATTTTTTTCGGTGTCTTGAATCCTGCAATAAGAAGTTGGAACGAACCAATGAATAAATCTTGTTCTTTTTCAAAATGCAAAGTTTAGCGATCCCACTATTGCGAGTTTGAACTTGTTATTTTTGAATTTCTGTTGTTAATAGACCTAGTCATAGATCTGTAAGCTGAAGGTTGCATAGCCTAAATGACCTAAATTTAAATCTTCTCATGTATTGTAACATTGCAATAAAAGTAGAGCATCTAGATTTTCTGCCTCTACACGAGTCTAAAATTGTCAGAAAAAGCTCTAGTGGCATAGGTTAGCAGTAGTATTTTTCGGACTATTCTGACATTGTAGTAAGAGTTATTGAAAAAAAAATACGTTACCAGTCGCTTACTTTAATTCACGTTCAAACTTACCAAATTTACTGTAAGGGAAGTGAATCTGAAAAACAAACGACAATGTTCTAGGTTTTGATTTACGCTTTATTGAGTGCTACATTTTATTTTTGACGATGAAAATGGATTATTGTTATTTGGATCATGCGTTGAATCAGAAGGATTCAAAAATTCTGCGAAACTGAAATGGTTCGTTTCGCATTGTAAAATCAGAGATCCTTAAAATAAACAATACTTATTTTAAAACAAATTTTTTATTGGCGGTAGGGTCGGTATGGCGGTTCGGATTTAAAACCCGCCCTACATTTTGCATCCCTTAGAGATTGTTTCGTTCTAGAAATAAACTCTTTTGTCATTCGTGACTGTGATCATATAAAATTGTTACGCGATATGTTCAGTCCATTACCATATTGTTTTAAATGCCCAACACTCCTAGTTTGTTTTATAAATTTTAGCATCTTCTTCGGAGTTAACCCCAACACAATTCAGTTTAAATTGATTATTTTTGGCAGATCCTCGACTGTAAAATCTGTATCTGAAATGGATTGTAGCCTCATTGATTTCATTCGCTCCCAATGATAACTATTTGTTACAGATTCCACCAAGTGAAAGTTCTCACAGCAAAAAAATGTCGGAATTGAATTTTGATCGTCTGCTTAAAACTAAAGTAAGATGTTTTTTGTATTATTTGCACATTAAAGTTTGAACAATCAGGTATTTCTAGTTATTTTCTCATCCTGTCTATTGGTAAAAGCGAACCTAATTATCAGATGTTGATTATAATGATATATTTCTTTGATATATTTTTACAGGTAAATTTGAAGGAATATATAGATAATATATTAAAGAATATTTTTGACATACACGATATACCAGTACCAGTACGTCATCTTTTTCATTTACTAGAAACATGTGGACTTAGAAATGGGTTCGATAAAACTGTTATAGAATCTTGGAAAATAAACAGGTATACATATTATTATATATCAGTTATCATGTTATTAAGTCAAAAAAGACAACGATATGTAAAGGATCCAGGTGATATTTCAATTTTTTGTTCGTAAACACTCTTGAACTCCCAATTCTTGACAGATTTTGACGAAACTGGGTGTGAGAGTTTGTTATCATCGAAGGCAGAAAAAGCTTTCAATTTTTAGCTCTTAAACACTAAAAGGCACGAGTCTTGCCAGACTGTGACAAATTTTAGTAATATTATCATTTATTATACTGGTAATTGTTACTTTACTGCCAAATATTTTTATTATAAATCAAAGCTGCCAGTGGGCGTATATTACCTTGCCTGGCAAGCTATCTTTCAAAATCAAAGCTGCCAGTGGGCGTATATTATCTTGCCCTCAGGTAATCATATCACTAAAGAACTCCTTGAGCATTATCGTAATTTCTCTATCATAAGTAAAGGTCATAAACAAACTGATAGTGAGCACAGTTACAATTAGCGCGGTATGTGCTTTTTTCATAAATTGTGTAAAACCGCTTGTACAATTTGGATTCAGACATTTCATGGACGTTAATTATTTTTTTTTGTTTAAACATATTTTATTGTTTGAAACAACAGGATAAGGACAAATTATAAAATTTATAAACCTTCTCCTAGTGAATTATTCACAAATATACAATTTGAATTTAGAAAATGAAAGAACCAATAACTATAATTAAATAATTTAACATACATACAAGAGAAGAGAAAAGAAAAATTGAAGGACAAACTTTTTTACAATTCAAATAATATTATGTGCATGATACCTAAATGCGGTGACAACAAATGTGAAGTATTTACACTATTTAGTCTTTCTTAAAGCGGTGGGACGATGTAATATAGTTTTGGACTGCTATAAATATATATTCGTTCACTGATTTGGGAAAAAATGGATTTCCATGAAGAAGGATTTGTAAACGTGTGTCATAGGGAAGGTGGTTTAAGAAATATAATTTGTTGAATAGTACAGTTCATTGGGTTATATATATTCTACATTTAAAGAAGTAGTGGTAAACATCTTCAACAGATTGTGTACACATAGGATTAGCAACAATATTACATCGGAAAAGATCATTATTTAAACCACTTGAAGAGTATCGTAATCTCGTATGAAGAATACAAAGATTCAGTGCTCCCACTTCTCTGAAATTTGGTAATTTAGACCTGACTATGATTAATTTTTTGAAACTTGAAATATTAACAGCATTTAATTGAATGGGTGAAAGGTTTCTGTATTCGGTTATTGTCTTCGGAAAAAACGAACGTTGTTTAATGGTCAGACGTGAAATTGGTAATGAAATATTATGATTGAGTCTAAGTGCATAAATTTGTGAGTTGGAATGAATTATGTCACGAAGGAAGGATGGAGAGGAATCATTTATGATCTTATAGAGTAGACATAATCGTCTAGTTTTACGTCGATCTGCAAGATACTTCGCAGGCATATTCTAAGGAAGGGCGAATAAAACAGGTGTATAACTTGTGTAAAGATGTTGTTGTGTCAAACAATTTTTTAGCTTTCCGTAAATGATTTAGTTTGAATGCAGCTTGCTTTATCATATGATCGATATGCAAATTCCATTTTAAGTCAGATTCTAAAATAGTACCTAAATGTTTATGATTTTCGGAACTTGTCAAATGTTTATCATTAAAGTTTATGTTAATTGGGAAGGGTACAGATTTGTTACTAAAGATCATTAATGATGTTTTGTCAGGATTAAAGGTAACAAGTCATTTTGAAGACAATCCTGGATTAATTTTAGGTCATGATTCGCAATTTGTTCAACCTCTAAAAAACTTTTTGATGATGTTATTAGACCCGTGTCATCCGCAAATAGCCTCGTTGAACTTTTTAGACCTTCATGAATATCGTTTATATAAATAATGAACAATAAAGGGCCCAAAACCGACCCTTGGGGAACCCCTGCATTGGGAAATAAGAATTTGGATTGGTGATTTTCCAAAAGAACTTGCTGGTGCCGACTGGATATATAAGTAGAAATGAGATTTAACAAGTTGCTGCCGATTCCATATTGCCGAAGTTTATGTATTAAACCTTTGTGAGAAACTCTGTCAAAAGCTTTCGAGATGTCAAAAGAGTGGCTGTGAAATCCCTTTTGTCTAGATTCGAACAAATTTTATCATAAATTTCAATCAATTGGTGAACTGTGGACAATCCTGGTAAAAAGCCTGCCTGATGTTTATAAATTAAATTATTTTCAGTGAAGTAAGTGTTTATGAACTAATTTTTCGAAAATTTTTGAAATACTTTTCAATAATGAAATGGGCCGGTAATTGGACCTTATATGCCTCGGACCCTTCTTGAACAGGGGAATCACATGCGCCAATTTCTTTAATTTAAGTAAAATGAAATTAAAAAGATGTGACAATGGGATACATATGGTGTCAATGGTGGATTTCAAAATAGTATTGTTAACTGGACCCGGACCATTGGCTTTGGATGTTTTCAGCTTCTTAATAACCGTTTTGATTTGATTAGGTGAAACCTGTAAACTTGGACAAGATTGTTCCGTGCGTGAATTAAAATTTGGTAGCACTTTCATGTCAATAATCGTTGAAATAGAAGTAAAAAAATTCGTTTAGTATCTCTGATTTGCTATAAGCATCACTAACTAAGTTGTTCGTGTCAGAAAGGAGATGTGGGATAGTTTTTTGCTGGGTAGGTTGAACAAAGCTTTTTAAGATATTCCAATAATCTTTTTGAGAGGTTTCTTGTAAAGAACGCATTTTTTCATTAATATGATCGTAAAAATTATTTTTTGCAAATGTTTTCATATTATTAAATTTGTTCCTGGCTGATTTGTATGAAGCTAAATGTGTTGGGTTTCTAAGGTGGGAAGTAAACCATGGTTTATCTTTAGTTCTGACAGTGATACAGGTAGATGGAATATTACATGCAATTAAGTCAGCGAGCTTTTTGTCAAATTTAAGAATACGTTCATTAGTGTTTTCAGTTTCTTTCCAGAATATATCCTAATTTATGGATTTTATGACATCATTCAATTTGACGAAGTTGGCACGTTTGTACAAGAGGATTTTACGGTTGAAACTATTTGGAATAGCAATATTTACACCCAAGTGGACGTAAGTGGTAAAATGTGATTTGGAGTTTCAATGACATCTGCGTCAATGATATTTACATTTTCGGAGATCAAAATTGGATCGATCGAGGTGCTCGATGTACTCATAACTCTGGTTGGTTTCGTTATAGTATTTTCAAAGTTAAAAGCTGAACAGACGTTGTGAATTTGTTCCTTTGGGTTGAAGAAATTAGAGTTAAGATCGCCCAATACGATTATTTTGTTTGAATCCTCTTGAACATGTTCAATCGAGTCATCTAGCAGTTCCCAAAAGTCGATCGGAGATTCATCAGATCGGTAAGCAATTCATAGATTTAGACAAAATGATTTTAAACGTAATTTTAACCATATAATGTCAGCCTTGAATTCAAACTTGTAAAGTCTTTCCGATGCAATATCATTTCGAACGTAAACAACCACCCCACCCCCATAATCATTTTGATCGTTTCTATACGTCATGTAGTTTTTATTTATCACTAAATCTTGATCAGTTACAGAATTACTCAAATGGGTCTCGGTTAGACATATAATGTGGAAGTCAGAAAGATTGTCCTTGATAAAACTAATTTTGTTTCTTAAACTTCGAATATTTAGATGGCACATTGATAATTTGTCTGAATAAGGGCCCGGATTTATTTCGATGTCGTATGATAATGATTTTCTAATTAGTTCCGACACATGACGTTGGCAGTAAATTAGCAGTAGTAAATTGAATAATGTAAAATAAGCGCAAAAATAATTGAAAAAGGTATCGTTCTGGTATGGACAAAAAAAACATATTTACAAAAACAGAAGAAGTAGATTCATGAAATAAACATAGTTGTGAGCTTAGATAGATATATACAACATAATACAATGACGTTAGATTGCGATTTACAGGTACAATATAACCAGTTACTTTAATAGACAGTTGAAATTACACATTGTGACCGAAACTCTGACTTGGTTTGGAAAACTAATTTCAAGGTCCGGTGATAGTCACTGACTATAAATTGATGGAACGTACACAACATTTTACATTGACAAACAAATCTATTTGTTTTGAATCGGACTAAAATACCTAGTGAGATCGTTCTTTTGCAAAGGTGTAGAGGTGGGATTTTGACTTTCCCTTACATTAAAAGGACTTGACTGGGAATATTGATCAAATATTTGACTATATGAACTGGTAGATACGGGTGGGAAATCCATATTCAATGTAGTTGATTCTTGTGGACTGGACTTTTTATCGGATGAACTTCCAACAGGTAACTGTCGGCGTCGATTAGGAGCGCTATCTTGATGCACGGGATAGTCGGCTTTCTTTTCATTGAAGGCCACTTTCAGATCTGTATCGTGAGATACTTTAACAATTTTACCATTTGTGAATTTGGCGTAGATAACACCTTCCTTGGACCAGGTTTGACAAACAAGTGGTGACTTGTAAGTCTTATTCATTAAATTATTATTGATTTCTGTTAAATCTTCTTAATCACTATTCCAGTTTTAGCTAAAAACTTTCGTTTCTGAATCACTTTAATTTTTGACTTACTTGACATGAACTTCACAATTATACCTCTTTTTCTCGATTGAACGAAAGGACCTAAACGATGAGCTATGTCAATATCTGCTGATGTTATAGTCGCACCAATTTTGCAAAATACACTAATGGCATGTTCAGTTGATTGTGGGTAATTCTCATGCTTATCGTCAGGTGTGTCATAAATTCTGATACTTGATCTACGAGTCCACTGTTCGACTTGGTTACTTTTGTTTAACTCTAGAGCACTAATGCTTTTGGATACCTGCAATTGTTCCTTAAGAGTTTTGTTCATTTATGTGATCGTGAATATTGACATTTTCAGTTTGGAGTCTTTGAACTTGGACTTGGAGGGTCTTGAAACGTTCATCTAGCAGTTTTCATTGACTCGAGATAGTTTTCGTTTTGTTTTAATTGATTGAATATCATGTCATTAGTAACGGTTTGGCAGACATTGGTCCAGATTCTATTTTCTGTCTTTCAAAGAATTGTTGTTTCGGACTAACACTGGATTTTGCCTTTTTCTTGACCTGGCGTTTATTGTTATAAGAAGTAGTCAATAGGCTATCAATTTGTGAGGACGATTCACTTGATTGATCACTCAACGATGCAATTTTAGTTTTCCGTTTTCTTGAACTTTCAACTTCCAAATTACTTTTATCCATTACTTACACAATTTGCATTATAATACAGAATCATTGTCTTATTAATGGTGATAATATAGATTTATAACTATAAGTATAAGAGGGGGTAACATTAAGTTTTGTTTCACTTCAAATTAATTTTAAGTTATTGTCATTATTACTCACCCTAAATTGCGCGAACGTGGATATTCTAGAAGGTTCTTGAGAGGTACTAAAAGCTCAACAGTTGCTGAAATCTCTGCTAAAAATAATTCGATTCTTTTGCCAATACCAAATTCTTCAGTTTATCCTTGTAACAACCCTCGCTGTCAAACCTGTCCCTTCATTTTACCAACAAATTCTTTCCGAAATAGACGCACAGATTCCATATTTCAAGTAAATGAAAAACTCAACTGCAACAGCAAAAATATTATTTATCTCATTTCTTGCACAAAATGTGACGAACAATACGTTGGGGAGACAAAAAATTCGTTAAGGGTCCGTTTCAACCATCATAAGTCTGACACCAACTTAAAAAAAATTAATAAAACCGTTTCAAAACACTTCAATCAACCCGATCACCAATTAACAGACCTGAAAATTATTCCCATTGAACAGATATACGAACAACCTGGCATTGATACAAAGAAAATTCGACTCATTCGCGAAAATTATTGGATAAACAAATTACAAACCATGCATCCTTTAGGAATGAACATCCAAGTTGATTTCCAAATTATACCTTTTATTATTGAATACAACAACACAGCTGGTCAAGTTCCCCGAATAATTATCCGTCTTTACAAAGAATTGCAGGAAAAATTTCCAACAGTCTTTACAAATGATTTAGTTATCGCCTATACCCGTAATAAAAATCTAAATGATATCTTAGTCCATGGTAGATTACCCCCCATCCCCCTTCCATAGGTTTAGTACATTTCCTTTAATTAATATTTCTTATTTATGATAACTTACAATTGAAGAGTTTCCTCGCAAAAATATCATACATGTATACTATTTCCACTTAATAAATTATAGATATTTTTTATATGAAATACGCATTTTCCTTTTCATTTAATATAGGACAATTCCTCAATTTAACCAGTGAAAATGTTTATTATGATTTCCATGGTTATTAATGTTCCCGTTGGAACCAGTATTCTTCTTATATATTTCAGATTCGGAAGATAATGGATTTGCATTTCAAATATTCTATATCATTCTTTTAAACTAACTTCACAAACATTGCTCTATCACTAGAGGTTACGCCTACATGCCTGTGCCTGTGCTTTCGTAACATTGCTTAACCGCAATGTTACAACCTAAAATTCCTAGTAGTCAATGTTAAATTCCATAATAACACAGTGAAATGTCAAAATTTAGGATCGGTTTACTATTATAATACAATCATATCTCCTTTAAAAACAATACATCCTGAACCTGTTTCCACACTGTTAATAGTCCATAATTTAAGAAATTTCAGAGGAGGTGTAGAGCCGACTTTTCCCTTTCGCAATTTTGTTTGAAGCACGTTAATTATTATCATCCGATAAGGTGTGCCAGTGGAGCCAAAGACGAACTTCCTTCAAATCTTTGTTACTAAAGTAATCGATTTGAATTTGTTTACGATTACTTTATGGACGTTTACATCTTTGTTTTATTTTTTTAGTTACTTCATAAAATATTGGAGTAAAATTTTGTCCCAGCCTGAGGTCTTGTATGATTTAAACGAAAGTAGTGAACCCCATATTCAAACCAATATGAATGTTATAGTGTTAGCTTTTATAGACATCTTTTCCCCTCCGCAGACATTGGGAAAGGTAAGTGATGTACTGCATATCGACCAGTGTGGAAATCTTGTCATCAGTCCTAGGGCGAAAAGGCAGAATTTAATGGGTTTCATTGAGATTGAAGGCGTTTTAACCTATAAAATCACCTAAATATATTTATCTAAGGACGGTGCATCTATAGTGTGATGAAATCATTTTTAAATATGATGGTGCTTTCAAGAAGTACAGATGATTTCCAAGATGAAGCTATCATCATTTTTGTAAAAACGGATTTTCGAAGCTGTCGTTGTGAAATTGAAACTTCGGGATCCAGTTGCAAATATTCACGATCCCGATGCAGTTTTACAATAATCTTGAGATTGCGAGTCTAAAATTGGTTTCCTATTCTTTATTTATATTCATTATTCAATATAATTATTATGTTACATCCGGAGTTACGGATAGCATTATCAACATAATCATTAAGGGAAATATTTGTTTTGATGAATTATATCAAGACTTTAATGAGTAAGATCAAAAGATGTTTTAAATAGGTCTTCCCTTTTTTCAGAAATCACCAACATTAAAATTGTTATTCTACAAAGATTGTTATGAATACAGAAAGAGTAAAGTCACTTTTTTCAAATCCGGCGCAACAGTTGCTGGTGTAAAAAGTGCTGACCTCACATCAGAGCTAGGCAAACTTCCATATCTGGTAATGGTCTAATCTTCTCTACTAAACCTTATCAACAGAAAATATAATATCTTGTCAATCTTCAGCGGTGGAATTTTGACTTTGACCTTCGGGGCCTTACGGTTTTCTTGTAGAAACATTTGGGTAGGCCTATGATTATCTGAATTAGGACTACAAGGAACGCTCTTTGACGTTATATTCTGGCACTTATTTTTTTCGCCTTGCGCAAAGCACATTACAACATTTTTGAAAGCAAAAGGTTGCCCTAGAATGTTTCGTACTTTTGAAACATGTTGTGTAAATTTCCTTGGTAGCTTTTTAAAACTACAAAATTTTCCTTTTTATAAAGTCTATGTCATATTGTTCTTTAGTATTTGAATCAAGACTTGAGATTTTTGTTTTATTTCAATGAATTTTTCAGATTGATACAATACCCTTCAACAGAAGAAGTATGTTATATAAGTTATTTTTAGTCATAGATAACTATGATGACAAGGTAATTAGTATATTTCTTTTACATACTTTATACTACTTATAGATATTCCATATCATTGTTACATCCTCAATCTTCACGATGAAAGGCGTTTTTTTTAAATTTAAAAACCTATGCTATTCAGAAAGAGCTTAACTTCTACTTGTTCCAGGATTAACTATAGGAGCAAAGAAGCTCTTTATTTTTTTTTCTTTCTATATTTTGATGATACGCTCATAAGAACAACAAAAGGCATTTACTCGCCGTTGGTTTAATACAGGTTTTTTTAATTCTGAATTTTGGACTATAAATCACAAATTGTTCTTATTCTTGCAATGTCTTATCAAATATCATGCCCTTTTATTTTGGTCAAACTCTCTTTAAACTGGCACCAGAAAGTGACCCTTGCTAGTTTCGGACGTACCGCTTAGATTATAATTATAGTAAGGAATCTGGAGCTATAAGATGTAACCACTGACACTATTTTTTCTGATAACGAATGCAACATAACAATATTTATTTTACAGATAATAAAGGACTTAGATGAAACAGATGAGACAAGGAGGTTGAAACTCTCAGATAAATTGGACGAAGTTTTTGAAACTATGCGAAATACGTGAAAATGTGTTTGTCTGCGTTAAAAAAAAGACTCAAATTACATGATATAGAGCCAGTTAAAGAATAATTGTTGAATTCTGCTTTGAGATACTAACAAAATTACATGATATAAAGCCAGTGAAAGAATAATTGTTGAATTCTACTTCGCAAATTCAAATATACTCAAAATTACATGATATAAAGCTAGTGAAAGAATAATTGTTGAATTCTGCTTCGCAATACAAATATACTCACAATTACATGATATAAAGCCAGTGAAAGAATAATTGTTGAATTCTGCTTTGAGATACTAACAAAATTACATGATATAAAGCCAGTGAAAGAATAATTGTTGAATTCTGCTTTGAAATACTAACAAAATTACATGATATAAAGCTAGTTAAAGAATAATTGTTGAATTCTGCTTTGAGATACTAACAAAATTACATGATATCAAGCCAGTGAAAGAATAATTGTTGAATTCTGCTTTGAGATACTAACAAAATTACATGATATAAAGCCAGTGAAAGAATTGTTGACTTCTGCTTCGCAATACAAATATACTCACAATTACATGATATAAAGTTAGTGAAAGAATAATTGTTGAATTCTGCTTTGAGATACTAACAAAATTACATGATATAAAGCTAGTTAAAGAATAATTGTTGAATTCTGCTTCGCACTACAAATATACTCACAATTACATGATATAAAGCCAGTGAAAGAATAATTGTTGAATTCTGCTTCGCAATACAAATATACTCACAATTACATGATATAAAGCCAGTGAAAGAATAATTGTTGAATTCTACTTCGCAATACAAATATACTCAAAATTACATGATATAAAGCTAGTGAAAGAATAATTGTTGAATTCTGCTTTGAGATACTAACAAAATTACATGATATAAAGCCAGTGAAAGAATAATTGTTGAATTCTGCTTTGAGATACTAACAAAATTACATGATATAAAGCCAGTTAAAGAATAATTGTTGAATTCTACTTCGCAATACAAATATACTCAAAATTACATGATATAAAGCTAGTTAAAGAATAATTGTTGAATTCTACTTCGCAATACAAATATACTCAAAATTACATGATATAAAGCTAGTTAAAGAATAATTGTTGAATTCTACTTCGCAATACAAATATACTCAAAATTACATGATATAAAGCTAGTTAAAGAATAATTGTTGAATTCTACTTCGCAATACAAATATACTCACAATTACATGATATAAAGCTAGTTAAAGAATAATTGTTGAATTCTGCTTTGAGATACTAACAAAATTACATGATATAAAGCCAGTGAAAGAATAATTGTTGAATTCTGCTTTGAGATACTAACAAAATTACATGATATAAAGCCAGTGAAAGAATAATTGTTGAATTCTGCTTTGAGATACTAACAAAATTACATGATATAAAGCCAGTGAAAGAATAATTGTTGAATTCTGCTTTGAGATACTAACAAAATTACATGATATAAAGCCAGTGAAAGAATAATTGTTGAATTCTACTTCGCAAATTCAAATATACTCAAAATTACATGATATAAAGCCAGTGAAAGAATAATTGTTGAATTCTACTTCGCAATACAAATATACTCACAATTACATGATATAAAGCTAGTTAAAGAATAATTGTTGAATTCTGCTTTGAGATACAAATATACTATGGGACACATTTCGAACGTGATTAGATTCTATTAATTCCTACATTAATCAAATATAAGACGTTTGGTGTTTCAGGGGATAATGTAATGAGACAGACATCAGATAGAAAAACTCGTGTAAATGAGCTTCTTAGCATAATTAAAGGGACGATTCACCATTTTGGGCGGTTGAATATAGACCCTATTATGTAAATAGTCTTCAGAAGTATTAGAAATGTACAAAATCGGATAATTACTTCAAAAATACATCAAACTATGAACTTTCTATTTTCTATATATGTTTTTCTATATATGGCAGTGTCTCAGAAATGACATTTGTCATTTTAACATCCAAACGCGGATAATTCTGGACACACGTGCATTTGAAAGCTAATATTTCGATGGACACTATTATTGATTAGCTAAGGGGAAAAAAATTCCCGTTTTTGAAACTAAAGTAAAAGTAAATTGGTCAAACAGATGGCGAATCTGTCCCTTTAAGTTTTTTTGACAAATACCTAATTATAATTATTTCCTTTGTTTCATTTTTATATTCTTGAATGAGTGTTTGTAAATAATATGATAACATTAAGATTTGAAATGTACATTTATTATAAATATAATGTAATTGAACAAGTTATTAATGCCCATCCGGGAACCGTCAAACAATTTATTGTATGGACTGTTGTGTTTACCGTACCTGGATATGCATGAATATCTTTGCTCGATTATAAATCAATTTATTATTAAAACACTTATGTGCCATGTGCACACTTTGGTTCCTGAAAACAAGCAGACATTTCGAGAAAATTTTATCTAGTATGACCAGAACAAAGGGGGGTATTGGCATTCCTTTTGAAACCCATCTGGTTTTAACTTTTGTTCATTCAGATCCCTTAGTCTTATCAGCGAACCCCTTACCAACGAAGCCATAATGCATAGTAATTGACGTTCATTTGTTGGCAATGTAAAACATTTACGTACTTTCAATTGAACACACTTTGAAAATTACCAATATGGCTTGCAATAAATGCCTTGTTGAGCAGCTACCTTTTCAACCACATCAATTCTGGATATATCCAGATCATATATACCTAGTTTAAACAGTTGATCACAATGTTCATAATGTTTATTTATCATATCATCACATTTATCACGTTTATTTTTGCACCACGTTGTCAGGTGCTCTACTTTAGCAACCGGATTATGTTCAAATTGAAATAAAAACCATTGAGATGAAATCCGTAAAGGATCACACATTTCCTGGATGTTCTGTGGTAGTAAAATGTTTAGATTTCTGGAGGCTCTACAATATGACAATTTGCTTACCATGTGCTGCCTCCGAGGTTCACTAAAATGCTTATCGTGAATTTGTACATGTAAATCTGGGGATATATCCGATTGTCCAAGTTCGAAACCTTTTGCGACATATTTTTTATTGTAATCGCTGAGAGTTTCATTCCTGATGTCTATGTGAAAATCATATCGGTGTTTTTCAAAATAATAAGCGTATGTCATTATCACTACGACGGGACTAGAAGCATGACCTTGGGCTTGTGAGAATACTTCAATAAAGTCTGTTGCTGAAGAATTAACGTGATTCATAATAAACTTCCTACAGTTGGCTATCGTATCCTTCCAAATATATACTGGAAAATAAGACATGAAATCTGCTACCATATCTACTCCTAACATCATTTTAGTTGTTTTCGCCCAATTTTTAGAAAATTTACCTCTGAATTTGGCATGAATGCCTTTCACTTTTAATTTTTCACCATTGAAAATATTATCTTGTGTAACAGGCGTGGTAAACTTGGCATCACTATCAGTATACGCAATAACTGGTGTTTGAATGAACAAATCGGTTAAAAATGAAGAATACAGTTGTTGTTGATAACCCCGACTTTCTTTAAGGAAGTATTTTGTTTGATTGGGTGAAGGTTCATAATAAAACTCGAACATCATTCCCATAGCATCTTCATGTTTCGTCAAATGTTCTGCTAATCTTTTGTCCCACACTGATTCTTTGTTAAGTATCAAGGCGATATTGCCTAAATATTTAGACCAATATAAGGTTGCTGATCTGAGAGCAGAGCAATAGAAAAACTCCAACAACCTTGTAGAGCTGGTTAAACGAAAGGTCAATGTTATATCCGGCAAGTGTTTAAAAACGACTGCTTTTTCATGTAACCTCCAGGATTTTGACAAACGTTTTTGCCAGCCATAGTTGAGTATATAATACATTAGACAAAAAATACCAATAAGTATCACCCTTTTTTTGTTCACTGCAAAAACAATGAGAAAATTTGTTTTTTTAAAGAATAATAAAAATTAGTTCTTTTAAAGCTTTATGAGACAATAAAGAAAGGGTTAGCGAATAGCACCGGTATCAAAAACCAAATCAGCCAGTTCTGACTCAAAGTGGGGAAAGATCCCGTTGTTAGACATTCGCAGTGCCTTCACCACTTGGTCATGCTGACCCACTTTGAAGGTCACTTTGAGATAACGTTCAAAGGCAAAATCTCCCAATTTGATCTAACAATGAAAACCTCGACAGTTGATCGGGATTCCTCTTAATGTGGGGTGGTTGCTGATCGACAAGTACAAAACAGAATCCCCTTACAAAGAAGATTACAGCAATCCTTGTCGTTGCTATTTCGAGTATCGCTTCTTGGGGTATTCGCTCCCTTTTGAAGCGCTATGACCAATCCACACGTCATCGCGAAATATCACTTCACCAATGACGAAGCAAGGGATACGGTTATGATAAACAGGCGAAATGAAAATTGGCCAACAATCTATCAGAGTAAAGATCTTATCAACAAATCCCGAAACGAGTCTGCAATTCACCGAGTCTTTAGCGCTTTCACGTAGTTAAGAGCTCTCACACAATCAAAATCTATAAAGTAATTCATAAATGAAAATTCGAATTCATGCTGATAATGTAACAATTTGAAGGAAGTCAAGAGACATGAATAAATCAGTCATGAAAATTTCAAAAAAAGGTTTCATGGCCCTGTGGTGTCAGATTATCTTCAATAAAAGTATGAGTTTCCTAGTTAAACTCCCTTTTTAAATCATGCTGACTTGATGAAAGTTTGTAAAATGCTTTACTCTGCAATTTATCTTAGAAAAGTTTATTTATATCATTTATAACCATGATGTGATCAAGTAGATGAATAGCATACTTTAGAAATATTTTTAAGTAAGATTTATGGCGTTTTTGATAATGAAAATTTGGCATATTGCCCCTTTAAGTCGGAGTTATGGGATCACATCCTTCCGCCGCTATTATCAATTTAATTCAAAAAGACGCATATCTTAAAGCAGTTTACAAGATCAGTGTGTTTTTTTTATAATATTAATCTTTCCAGACCTCAAAAATTTAAACTAGACTCCATATACATTTTATTATTCTTTTATAACACAATAAAAAAATGCATGTTACTGAATGTTTTGTGGCGATAAGTCTGGTATAAAAATAAATTGTTTACTGTACCTTTTATATATCGCGTTAAAGAAAACATCATCTACCACAATACTATATCTTTGTTTACTTATTAGGGAAAACTCTGAAACAAGTTGTGCAGTTTTTTTAAAATCTTTGCTCGTCTACTGTATGTATATATATTTAGTTGTTCTTTGTCAATAATTCAAGAAAAAAGTGTTATTTTGGGTGTAACAAATAACCTCGAGCATATTTAAAGTGGACATGTCTAATGAGAAAAAAAAACTTCCGGTACCCAAACTACCATTGAGAATTTCAAATAATTTAACCAAACCTAGCATGTTGCTCGATTAATAATAATTGATTTGGAAAATCCTTACCAATTCTTATATTTAACAAGTCGCCTGAATTTATATCCATGTTTGATATCATCATCAAACGACTTTTAGATATGAAGTTTTTTGAGAAAATTAAATACACATTGTAAGCATAATCACACCCTGATTGCCATTTAATAAAAATACCATGATTATCCATTTAAAAGTGTGTTTTGATTTCGGAAGGTGATGGAAAAAAATTTAAAGTGCAAGCTATAAAAAAAATACATGAATTTTTCTCTTTAAAGCGAAGGTAAAATTTACGACGATGATTGATGTACGTAGAACATTGTTGACATTGCTGATGACATGTAGAAATAATAAATTATATTAGAGAAAAAATAGGTATATACAATTTATCAGGGGCATTGCTCCCATTGCCCATCTGTAGCTAGGGGCTTGTATCTGGTTGAATATTTGATTGTGACAGCGAGTTTTGCATACTAAATACTAAAGTTTAAAACATCGCTGCGTATCAAAATAATACTATTAATTTACAATGTAATCATTACAATATATACAACATCATTAAATAAAATACTAAACTGTCTATGTACTGACAATGATAAATTTTATTCATCGATAATGAGGTCACGATAAATATAATAATATTAGCACAAAGAAAAGTAGTCACGGTCATAATATTTCACGTTTTGTTTAATTACAATTCGAAATAAATTTTGAAAAATAAGTTATCAAATAACATTTAATATCTACTGTAAGTTATAAAAATAATAACAATGATACATAGATCGTCGAGCCTCGATAATTGAACCAGAATATGTGCTTTTGAAAAACAGAACAGTTCGAAACTTTTGCAACGAATTTCGGATAGCTCAAGATTTGTTAGAACTAACTACGAATATATGCAACGCGTTCTGTGTTTCCCAAAGTACTTCCGACATCGGACCGATGTTATTCATAACAATGAGGCACAGGCCTGCAGTCCTTCAGTTTTCAACTCAAGTAAAAACATAAAAACGTATTAGTGGTGTATACATAAATTGGTATGTTTTTAAATGTTAACAGTAAATACAACAAAGTAAATCAAATAAATAAATGTAGAATCCGTATAGCTAGTTCTACTACTCAGTACTAATTATTAAAACAAATTATTATTTGACATTATAAAACCGACATTTGTTCAATAAAAAATATATTTACTGATGATTATTAACTCTTCTGTATAATTTCAATCAACTAAGCATTTATTTCCTTATTCAGATAAGGGATTGACAATATCTTCCTATCCCACAATAGAATGTACCGACATTTGTACCGGTTTTGTTCGATGAATTTTGTTGGATGGAAGTTATATAATATCTCAGATCTCTACATATTATATAATATCTCACCAATCTACATATCATGTAATATCTCAGAAATATACAAATTATAAAGTATCTAATCACTCATACACAACTGACGCTTTACGTATGTATATCATAATTATTTCAATCCAGAAAAATTCAAAAAAAATTCATGGCGTCATATTTTTAATAACAAAAAGTGTGACTGTAATCTAATATTGTTCATTACTTTCCCTACCAAATTAATACATTTTTGGAACAGTTACAACAGCTGCGAATCCATAATTGAAAAGCCAATGTGCAAGTTGCTACACATTAATAGTGTAGGAATGTTTGTAATTTCGTCTATTTTTTGTTTTTTGTTCAAACTCAGGTGATTTCGTAAGAAGGTATCATAAGATTTAAAAATGAAATAGGGTGTTTTTTTTTCTTAAAATGCCACCCTAATTTGTTTTAACCTTTTGATATTTTCTTTCAAAACCATGCCAGTTTTTGCTTTTACGCGGATCCTTAATCCATGACATATATTATGTTCATACACTATTAATGGCTATTACACTTTACCACAGGAAAAGAGTCTACATAACCATTAATACATGTATTTAGACTTAATAGGTGACTTATCCACTGTTTTCAAATGATTTATTAGGTAAATCATTTTGTCCGTTGAGTCCCGATTGAGGTCCATTTTCGGTCTGTGGCGTTCCATATCCTTGATCGTTTCCGTGTCCAATTTGAGGGTTTCCGTAAACATTTTGAAAGTTTACATATTCGGTGTTAGCAGTTCCATATTGGACTTGAGGTCTTCCATATGCATTTTGAGGCGCTCCCTGGAAATTCTGGGGCGGACCATAACTGATTTGTTGAGGATAAGCAGAATAATTGTTGTAAGCCATCATTGTAGTTGAAGTGTTAGCTATGTTATTTGACTTGCCAAACATAGAACTCATGGAAAATCTGTAATGGGAATCCAGTAACCAAACAAACGGCAGAATGCAACTTTTTGATGAAGAGAACATGGAGAAACCGATGACCATATTAATATACCATGAACCAGCATTGTAAACGTTTAAACAAGATAGGATGTATGAAGGACCAACAGTAAAAGATATAATAAAACCAGCTACTATTAGATGGGCTGGGAATCTTGCTTGTTGTGAAGTTGGCATGGAGTTGCTGTTCATAATTGTTGGTTGGCGTCCATTGTTTGACGAATGAAGAACTATCATTATTAATCCTCCCAAGCAAAGGACAGCAAGAGGTAGGAAATATACCCCCACTGATAATCCAATAACCGAAGATCTTGTCAAAGTTAGTATACATGATTTAAAATTAGAAAGAAAATTTATGGTCACAGCGAATATAACAGTACATCCTAATAAAACAACTATTGTCCAGGCTACTCCACAATGTTTCTGTCTGGTTTCATTAGGGGTTTTAATATGCATTATGTGATTGACATACAATAACACCATTCCATACATGGTTATGGCTTCAAAAATGTAACTCATATAAGCTGTTGCTAGACTCAGATTACAAGAAACACCGGATAAAGATAAATAACGATAGGCAGCTATAGAACAAATAAATATGGAGGTTAAAAAGTCTACAACTGCTAACATAATCACTGGAAAATACATTCCACTGGTCCGTAGTTTTGGGTTCTTTAATATTGTCACTATGACGCCGATATTGGTAATGGTACCAAAGACTGCAAAGAGTGTGTAGAAACCACCGAGAGTAGTGTAATTAATCATGATGAATTCTAAAAGAAAAGTAATATTCATTAAAACTTACCGTGGCCCATTGGGGACATTTGCAATTTTTTTTATTTTTCGACGTTTCTCAGTGGTTTGAGAGCAGAAGAACTACAGAAAACAGGAATTGAAATTGTGAAAATTCGAGAAACCGACAAAAAATAGAAGGAATGGAGGGAAATAGAGAAACTTTAATTAGACAGATGACACAAAATACATAAAAATCACAAAAATTCATAAAAACAATAATTAATCAAAATCGTAAAAATAGTTAAAACATGAAAAATTAAATTTTCCAAAATATTATGAAAAACACAAAAAATTCTACTGATAGTCACTACACTCCATGTATCTACACACTCTGTCACTACACTCCATGTATCTACACACTCTGTCGCTACACTCCATGTATCTACACACTCTGTCGCTACACTCCATGTATCTACACACTCTGTCACTACACTCCATAATTACAACTGTACAAACTAAATTTAGTAATTACACTTTTACTTTGCATTTTTTGTGTTTTTCATAATATTTTGGAAAATTATGTCTATGCGGTGGTAATTAATTTCAACCGTGGTGGTACAAATTTCACATTTTACGATTTTGTGTACTCATTCTGTGCCCTATTGTTCTCGATGGATCTTTTTATACGCCCATGTATGTCTGTCTGTCTGGCTGGCTGGTGGTCAATAATTTCAACCGCGGTGGAAAAAAATTTCAACCGCGGTTGAAATTAATTTTTGCAATTTCACTTTGAATTTTTTATGTTTTTCATAATATTTTGGAAAATTTAATTTTTCATGTTTTAACTATTTTTACGATTTTGATTAATTATTGTTTTTATGAATTTTTGTGATTTTTATGTATTTTGTGTCATCTTTCTTATTAAAGTTTCTCTATTTCCCTCCATTCCTTCTATTTTTTGTCGGTTTCTCGAATTTTCACAATTTCAATTCCTGTTTTCTGCAGTTCTTCTGCTCTCAAACCACTAAGAAACGTCGAAAATAAAAAAATTGCAAATGTCCCCAATGGGCCACGGTAAAAACTACTGATAATGCTCTATTACTGTCAATACCAGTTTCCACAATCCTTCAGAATGATATTATGCCAGACAAATTATTTTTGTTTACATTTTTTACTACTTTCAAGCTCCGTCAATACAATAATGTTTCTCCTTGATAAACTTCGCCTAACATTGTCTTTTTGAACGAGCTTGTGTGGAAGCCGGGCTATACAGATTGCTTGCTTGGATGACAAATAGAGAAAACCGTTTTTTGTTTTTAATTCATTTTGTTTGATTACTAACGATCTAGGAAAATGACTGATGTGTCCAACCGAGCCAGCCAGACTCGTTCAGTGAACCAGTTTTCCAAGTTCCTTGCCCGTGTAGACGCTGCTTGATAATCATACTCTTAATAACATTGGAATAACCGATTTTGTGAGGTCTTAGCACAAGATTGCTTTCTGGACGATTTATGAATTGAGTCCACGACATGTTTATATCGAAAAAAGGTCAAGAAGTCAGAAGTTAATTCTAAAAAATATGGTATGAAACGTTTCACATAATATATACAATAGTTACCTTTTTAATACCGTTTAGTAAACCATATATTGATAGATATTTTCACAATAAACTTTAATATCCTATATATTGGCAAATACAGAAATATTTTTGTCTTTATATCACTATAGATAAGTGACGTCAATAATTTTATCTTATATTTCACAATCTAAGTCACAAGAATGGATTAATTATTACTTGCAACACTACAAATAATAATAGATGTACTTCGTTATTTGACTTCGTAATAAGAATTGGCTTTATTTCCAACCATTGAATGTATCTTCCTATCCTGCTGCTGCACCGTCAGGTTTTGTGTTTATAAAAAGTTGGTCAAAGTCATAACAACTTTTGTTTACGGAAAGTCTGGTAGTTTACGTAGCTACCAAGATAAGAAAAGGTCACTTAAAATCACATATGACTGTAAGTGTTATTAATTATTAAATGATATCAACTGTTAACTATATATATAAATGTTAATATTCTTTATCAAAATAATCACATGATAAGATTTTACAACTATTATTATAGAAAGTATGTAAACTATATTGATCAAATATATTGATGTTAGTTTTACACTGTAGAAGTGTTGATATGAACTATAGTTATAGCTTTGTGTTTTGAAATTACAAACGATATCAATTTCATGTATCAGCAATATTTATTCTCTGCTATGTGGACTCACTCCACTAATTCATTTGCCATCTCTTCCCATGTTAAAACACGAAATTCAACCTTCTATAACTTTTTCCAGAAATCTCGTTGAAAGCTTTCCAATATGTCGAATGAAAGCCTGACCAATTCTCAATGTCTCCTAAAAAATTCATTATATGATGACCATGAAAATTTTGAGCTACTAAAATTAAAAGTAGACTACTATACCGGTTATACTCATCCGCTAGAGTTTGGCACTTCACAAAACGACTATTTTTAGAATTAGCCTTCCGCCTTTAAGTCTCTCATCAACTCACCAAATCTGAAAGATAATGCAATTTCAGACATCAAATTCCAAATCTAGACCAAATTTTACCCAAAAATAGGCAGGCAAAAACCCCAAAAGGGAGAGAGAAAGAAGATTTCTAAAAAATGTTTTAGTGGAGTGAGTCCTATATCTAATTTCTATACTATGGCTAAATTACTTCCCTTTATAAAATACCCACACACTACTGGATGAAGAAGATCACATAATTAACCATACTAAAGATACTATCGATCCGAGGCGCAAAATGAAAACCGAAATCCAAATAATTTTGGCGAAACATTGGTACCAGCTAAAGTATGGAAGTCCGACATTTGTTCACCAAAATCATCATTCTTTCTCTTAATCAATTATTTTACATAGTTATATTTTGTTTAAGCATAATTCTTCTTTATTAAAATATTAAATAGTTACTATTTATGTATTACTACTTATTGTTCTCAATTTGGATACAAGTTTCACTTGACATTTCTTCAATAACAAATCATCAGTAACAAATATTCAAATACAAATCTTGTCCAATATTTAATATTTTAATAAAGTAGAATTATGCTTATACAAAATATAACTATACAATATAATTGAAATGCGGAGGTGTGGTTGAAGACGTGGAAGCTGAATCATTTCAAGCAGAATTGACAACAAACACTGTCAGACTCTTACCAAGAGCTGTAGATGCACGACCTATCCCAAAACGGAAGCGAACTCCTTCACCTGGCCTGAGCAAATTACAAGATCTACAATCCACAAGCACGAAACCTCATACCAGTTGACCCAATCTACCATTACCAACTTTTACTCTTTCAGCTTAAGTTGGTTGGTTGGTAGATTACAAGTTAACGTTCGCTAAAGTTCGACAACGTCATATTTATACACAACAATACGGAATCCGAATGATCTTTAGCTAATAGTAGGCAGGCTCAATACATTGATTATTTTTTTTACTTCCAATAGCTTGTAAGCATCAAACAATCTTAAAGATATCGCCGATTTTGTAGAAAAAATTAGAAGTTCGAATGTTCCTCCAAATGCAAGATTTATCCCTTAGATGTTACAAGCATGGATACCAATATTGATAATAAAAATCGGTTTAGACGTTATCTGAAAAGCCTTTCTTAAAGAAGTATGCATAGAAAGACCCGAAAAATAAATAATGGAACTTTTGGAACTATATTAGACGCGAATTGATTTGTTTTTAATGAAATAATTTATCTTCAAACTTCAGGCACCGCAATGAGTTAAACGAGTCATGCATATTATCTTTACGGCTGAGTGGGAACGTGAATTTCTTCTATTTCCCCTTTCAAACTATTCTTGACATTTTCATATAACTTGGACCGATTCTTTGGAAATTTTTTGGCAATATTTTAAAATCTAAATAATCATCATCCCTTTGTAAAACTAACTGCGAATATTTTGAACAAAATATGAGTTTCTTGGTTACTACAGTATTCACAGGACCAATGACTTTATCTAAAACAAACAAATTACATATCAAAGTAGGTATTTTTCAAACCTACTGATACTCACCAACATTTATAGTAAAGCTTATTTCATGATCACAAATTTTGTGATTTTTTAGAATTTTTACTCAAAAGTAGATTTTGATGCAGCGTGTGAACTGCTACCGTGCATTTGTTTTCAGTAGAGTAAGAGCAAGGGGCTATTCCAAACAATCTTGAGCAAAATTAATAACGGCCCTGTTTCGAACCTTTTGAAAATTAATGAAACACCTCCTTCAATGAACGGCTTTCTATCCTGCAGAGGTTCTCGGTGTCGTACCTTTAGACATATTCACGTGTCTCATTATTTTCGTAAGATATTTGAGGATCACGTGAACGGACAAAAATATAATTTACCTAATTACGCGTAAAAAATGAAAATTACAATATGTCGGCGAAATTCAGAGAGCGTTCCGAACTCGATTTTGATATAATAGCAGAATAGACCAATTTCTAATCATTTTAATTTTCCTGACCATTCCATTGAAGACCTCCTCATAAACTGTGTTTCCATTGACAAGCCGGCTTTTTGTGTTTCCACTGACAAATTGCCGAACCGTTAGCGTTCGGGAACCGTAACGGTTCGGCAATTGAAGCTTTTCTCGTTCGGCAATTTATCGGGGGCCAAATGAAAGCCGACTTTCGTTTACTCAGTGGAAACACAAAAAGCCGCCTTTTTCTCGTTCGGCAATAGGGGGCGTACTTGTCTTTGCGCAGCGCGCGCAACTTTAAAAATGGCAGCTTCCATAGCAAACGGATGGACAGACGAAGAGACTCTCTCCCTTTTAGAAATTTGGGGCAGAGAGGATATTCAAGCGTTGTTGGATGGAACCATCAGAGACAAAAAGGTCTACTTAAAAATAAGTAAAGAGTTTAACGATAGTCTTGTACATCGCATGCTGTCAATAATGTGCGACTTTATGATCGAGACCAAAGTCGTTCGGGAACCAGAAAAACTCAGTGTAAACGCAACGTGTTCGGCAATAAAGCTAGCTCTAAGTTAGCTTAGAGCTAGCTTTCCTTCATAATTGTCAGTGGAAACGCAGTTATTATGTCTATTGAATCAGTTTCTGACTCTAATCTCATCAAACTAAAATACAAAAGATTACAGAGAGAAAGCTACTGGGTGGACAAACTCAAAACGGTGACCACCCATGGGTTTAACATCCAACACGACAACCAAATGATACCATTTGTTGCCACCTGTAATCATAATAAACTTCATGTATAGTCAAACAGCATAGCAGTGACTTCCAGAACAGGTTTCCCAATGTTTACACAACAAACGTCATGTAATTGCCTTATATAAGCACAATAAAAACCTTGCATCTTCTTAGTCCATGGTAGTCTCGTTCCAATTGAATATTCTAACTCTTGATCATTTCTCCCCTCTTATAACTTATGTAAAATGTTCAAATTGGAATTCAATCTTATTAAAATTAGACGAAAATTTCGTCTGTTTTTATTAGCTTTTATAATTATAATAGCCACTTCAATAAGGGGTTTGGGTTTGGGGGTATTTTAATTTTTACTAATCTTGTCGGTAAAACGCGGAATCGTTCGATAAAAGACGGTAATAGCTGGAGCCGTGAATAAAACCGATTGGTTAACCGAAAGCGTGAAAACCTTGTGTCGTTTCTTATGAATTGGTTACCAATAACGTCATAACTTACAGAAGGTACAAGTTTCGGTTAACCAATCGGTTAAGCCATTACCAGTTTTCTTTGCGACTCGTTCCTATATCATTTCCCATCATTTACATATCTGCCAAAAATACATCGGGATCATTCAAGTCATTGGGAAATGATGGACACGACTTGTCGACTTGTTGCTTGGCACAACTGAAATAGTTTTACCGACAATCACTTTTGATGTAGACGAACAGTTTACCGGTATCATCATAACCGACACAAGGTTTTCACGCTTTTGGCTAACCAGCCCTTACCGTCTTTCACTGATCGATTCCGCGTTTAATAAAATCAAGATCGTTCATGTCATTGAGAAATGTTGCACATAATTTGTCCACTTGTTGTTTGGTACAACTGAAACAGTTTACCGTTACGCTTTCGTTTAACCAATCGAATTTAACACGCCTCCAGCCATCTTTTACCCTGTCTTGGTTATGATGTATTCGGTAAACAGTCTACATTTCCCAATGGCTTGAATAATCCCGATGCATTGTTGGCAGATATCAAAATGATGGGAAATTACATCAAAAGAGCGGTACGAAGAATTTGCGTTATGCTGCAAAGTGTCTCTTTCGGGAAGCAATGTTTTCTTGACGTCTTTACTGACTTATACTCTTATACTGCGTACAATCATACTGACATACTTCAATCCTTAATCATAAATGAAAACTAGAACCGTGACAACGGTACCAAAGCAGTGGGCATCCAACCTGATACATCGATAAAACGATGCATTTTAAAGTCACAATGGGATTTCTTACCGGAAAGAAAAGCATGTAAACACTCAATTGTAAAAAAATCGTTTAAACCGTTAACGTAGTATTAAGTCGAATTTTCAAATAGCTGTAAAGCCAGAAGTAAAAATCCCACAACAACAATGAAAACTAGAACCACTCGTGGTACTCAGTGGGACTTTGCTCTTGTGCAACGTTCTTAGCCAATTAGGTCACGTGCTAAAGCAATTAATAATTTTGAAAATTTCGCTCCTTTGGAAGGTTGTTAAAGCGGAAGTTGAAGCCAGACATAAAATGTGAAAGTATGATTAGATTTCCAAGGTCAATGACCATGTTAAGGGGAAGGTCATTTAAGGTCAACGTCACTAGATATGAGTCATCAAACTTTGAAAATACAAACATTATAAAACCGGAAGTTGACGATGAACATCAAATATGAAGGAATAAATCTTTAACCAAGGTCAATGACCTTCGATCCTACAAAGGTCAAGGTCATCAATGGTAAAGGTCAAAAGTTGAAAATATGCAAAATTTAAACCCTGTTCCTTTTTTTGAACTACGAAGCGGAAACAACTGACCTTTTCACACAAAATGGCCAAAGGGGTGAGGTAATTGTGTGCAAGGTCCTGTTATGAACCTGATAAAAATGTAAATAAAAAGTAATTTAAGCCTAATGTGCCACGCCCACCTCTACTTTTTTGTCATACGTCAATTCATATTTAATATGTCTCGTTGTGTTCCAAATTCCAAGCTTTTACAGCAAATAAGTCATAAGAAATACATAGAACTAGCTCAAAGAAGCTAACATATTCTAAAAAAAACACCGAAATTTCAAAAATTCAGAAATTTCAATTTTGCATTATATATGACCGGAAAGAGCACGATGAGCACATTCAGAATCCACAAAAATTTACCCTTAAAGATACTTAGGCGAATTTGGATGTTTTTGGACAGCTATAAAAGCGGAAGTAGACGTCAGAGGTCAAATATGAAAGCATAAACTAATAGACAAGGTCAATGACCTTTGACCCAATAAAGGTCAAGGTCATGAAAGGTCAAGGTCAAAAATTGAAAATAGTGAATTTCCAAACCTGTTCCTTTTTTTGAATTATGAGGCTGAACTAACTGACCTTCTAAGACAAGTGGCTCACAGGATGACGTAATTGTGAGCAGTTCCATTTTGAACAAATGTATTCTTTGCGAGTTATGCCTCTGACCAAAAATGTCAATAATGAGTAATTTGTTTGGATAGGTTACTTGATATTCGAAATGTTATGTTATGTTCAAAATTTCAAGCTTCTACATCATGCAGGTCAAAAGAGATAGGTCAACAAAAGTCAAAAAAGGTCAAAATCGAAAATTGAAAATATGGAAATTTTAAAGCCCGTTCCTTTTTTGGAACTATAAAGCTGAAACAACTTAGCTGTTAACACAAACTAGCTAAAAGGATGAGGTAATTGTGTACAAAGTCCCTTTTTGAACAAATTCGGCTCAAAAATGTGTGCTGCGAATTCTCATAATTGGAGAGTTTTTAACTGCTCACCTATTGGATATTCTTGCGAGATCCCAAAATTAAAAACCCGAGAAAATTCGCTCAAAAAATTTATATTCATTCAGTAATAGACCACAAATGTAGATGTAAGGTATGCTGCAACTATTACAGATTCTTCAGATAAGGCGACACAAAATCATATTTTTTTGAAATTACGAAAACAAAGCAGTGCGTTCGATGCACTGCACTGCAATAAATTATATCCATGGTATCGGAATATTTTACAAATAGTCTCTTCCCAGCTCACAGTTTCGGTGGTGTTCAAAATGGGTATTTTATTAACGACAATTTATATATTTCATTGAACAATATATGAACAAAACACAAGTCTAATACAAACAAAGCATAATAACACATATTAAAGTCAAGCCGCTGAAAAAAGTACATGCTAATAATAAGATATAAATTGTTTCTTTCATTATGTTGTTATTTCTTTTACCATTACTTGAATGTTTCTTCTGTTGGGAAACCATAATCTGATTTTTCTTGCATCTTGATTTGTCCAGGAAGAAGTGGTATAGGTGGAAGGGGCGGTAAAGACCGTTTGTGTTCTGCCCTAGACACTTCCAACTTCAGTGAGTTTGCTTTTAACGAATTTTGACATTTGAATCCACCGCCCGTAGTGAATGATATTTCTTTGCTATATTGAATATCAATTTGTTTTCCGTAGGTTTTCCTTTTCTCTGCATGCTTTTTAGATCGGGATCTTAGTTTCATTAAAAAAGCAAAGAAAAGCGCCAATCCCACAAAGCTTCCAGCAGCTACTACCATATACATTAGAAGATTTGATTCACTAGATGGTGCAACAGTACTCCCTTCTGTACCAACACTCTGTTTGACTGTCGATGACATTATTACATCCTTTGAATGTCTGTTAGATAATGTATTGGTATTCCTAGTTGCCCCAATTTTGTTAACTTTACCATTTTGATACGGATACAGTCCATCGTGTAATCTATTGTTAGTTGCATAATCAGGTTCATATAAAACCCTCTCATTGTTTGTCCGATAATTACCTCTATAATTGTTATAGAAATAATTTGGTTGATTATTGTATGTGTACTTTCTGTTAGTTTTGGTTCTAAATGCATTTACTTTTTTTCTAGGTTGGGTTCGGCTATTTTGGAAACGCGACTCTGTCTGTACTTTTCCTGATGACGCACCTAACTGTATTCCAATTTGAGGTCTGATGTCGTCAATATCCTCAGGCTGTCCTTCTCTTGTCGTTGTATCATTCACTGTCCCATTAGTGTAACTCAATAACGCATTAATACTTCCAATACCCAGAGCTGTAAAGATAAGAATGTAACCGTTCAACATTTTAACACTTATTGAGGATTATGTATACCTGGATACAATTAATAAAAGATACGATGATATTGGTTTTGATTTTCAAGTATGAAACCACTGTATTTAAAAGTGAAATGTTTCCTAATCGTATTTAGAACGTCTAAGTTCATTTAAATTATTGAATAAACGGTTTGAACACGTATATGTGTGTTCATTATGCAAGTGATTTCTATCACGTGGCTTGTGAATAAGCGCGGGAAATATACTATGTTCTAACAATTCGCTTCAATCTGTAAAGATTGCATAAACAATTGTTAATTTCATATTAAACATGTTAAAATGGTTTAGTCGAAATGTAAAAATACATCTTCCTATATTTGTCCGAGTATAGCTCCGAGTGTACCATTACAGGGGGATCGGACTCAAGTTTCAAGAGCACTTTTCAAGCATTGTGTATTATCACTGGTCGTTCCGGCAAGGTATTTTTTGTATATTGTACTTGTGTATATATGTTTTTCAATGTCGGTAATAAACTGTGCTGTACTTACGATTGAGATCTGTCGACAAATTAAAGCCTTGTTTTAATTTAGCTAATTAGATGATGTACAAAGTGTATACCCTAAATTCATCTAAGTTTTATGAGTCGCTAGGTTCCTTTCTCCTTTCTAAGGACATGCCATGAGTTGCACAAAAATGACACCTTTATATCTGATTAAAATTAAAAGACAAATTCGTTTTCTTTTTTGTATTCTGATATATTTCCTACCACAGTGGCATTCTGGTGTCCGTATTTTCAACTAACCATGACACCTTTAATGACTGAAAATACCTTAACCAGAATGCGACTGCGATAGTAATGTATAAGATTACAATGGAGACGAAAACTGACAGAAATTGTAATCTAATTTCAATGAGATTGACTCTGGAACATTGTGGGTTTAATGAGGGGTGTCAAGTATCCAATTAAAACGTTTACAATATCAACTACTGACGCTTTAACCTATACTTTCTGATTATTTGCATTCCACATTGCCGTGAAATGAAATCTTACTTTTGCTTTATGTCTAAAATGTCTAGACTCCATCTGGCATGGGACGAGGACATCGCTAGTTGTACCTGGGAAGTTGATTCAGGATATCACTGATGCTGCTATGGGCTCTCTTCTCTGGGTCCTAGCAATCCGATCAACTCTACGCCGCCATGGATACTCGTAAGCATGCTCTACGTCGGTTCCAGAGGATTTTGAACCGTAACACCAAGCTAAATTGGTCAAGTCTTCTACAGCTGTGATTCACAAACAAAGCACTGGCAGGAGTTCTGTAACTCATTAAATGAGAAAACCAAGCTAAAATAAAAATTATGCTTGGTAAAAATTCTTCCATTCCAACGTTATGTTATACAGGGATACGACAGCAACAAAGGAAAAACCATACCAAAGAATTTCTGAAGAACAATAAGACCTTCTACACCAACCACACTCAGATTCAACACTCACCCTCGGAGGACGAACGGGATCTTGGCTCCTTTCGCCCTCTATGAGCTGAAGAATCCACTGTACAGTAAGAAAGACAGTGCCACTGGTGAAGATAATTATACTGGAATTATTCAACAATTGAATGGTACAATTCCTAAAAGTTGGAAAACGGAACTTCCTTGTACCAAAATCCGCAGAAGGAGGGAAGCCAATGCAGCTGATACAGGCCTATTTCTCCGATCTCGACTCTATGTAAACCATTTAAGACGATGGTCAATAATAGACTTAGATACCACTGGGAATTCAATGGTCTTATTAATCCCAACCAAAAGCGGCCTCAGAGAGAAATCGTTCAACTTCTACAAGACATGGCCGCCCAACTCGGGAGGAAGAACTACAATTCAGTGCAATATTCTTGGATTTATCCAAAGCCTTTGACTATTAGGTCTGGGTTGATGGTTTGCTTTTTAAACTCAATAAACTTGGCTTTCAGGGTCGCATATTCATGCGGGTCCAAGACCCCGTACGGCTCTGTTTTTAGTTTACCCTCATGATAAATGATCTTGCCCAGGACTATGTTAAGCAAAAGGAGCTCTCGGTTAGCATGGCCCTACATGTTGATGATAGTTTTATATGGACCTTAATAAGGTGAAGTGTCACATGCAAACGTCTGGGGCTTCATTATTTCGGGGGCTAAAACCGTCAGGTTATTCTGTAGCAGGAAAAGAATCACGACAGTATCGCAATCCGAGAAACTCTAATGTTGATGTGGAGGTCATTGATTCGTTCAGTTATTGGTTGTATTGCCTATGATAAAGCTAGTGATTCTCAACCTACGAAACTCGACACATTACAACTGAAATCTATACGTATTGTCATCAGGGCAGCCCAAGGTACGAAGAATAAAGCGCTACATAAGGGGCGGGAGGGAAACTCTTCAGAGGGAGGAGCTCAAATTCTGGGGAAATATTTGTCCGAAGGTGACCGGCATCAGAAGATTCTCTCGTGTCGGAAAAAACAGAAGAACCGGAGTATTTCTTTCGGGCAAGCGGCCATTGATTGAGAGGGCACCAGCTCGACCATGTTACTATCCTTGAACGACGCCTATCGGACACTCCGTTTTGGAAGGTTACCAACCCGAGATTAGTAAAAACACGGCTGATCCAGAGTACCAACAACCACGACAATATCAGATTAATCCGAAGAAACTAAACCTGACCAAACCAAACCAAACCATCCATCTGTAGCCATCTGCAAATTGGTAACCAGACTCCGTACCAACACCGTAGTACGAGACCATCAGTTCAGCGCCATTACTACGTTGCCACTAGGTCGCATCTCCACATTCAGAGTACCTAGAAATCAACGGCATACCACTCACCATACAGAATGTTTTGGTCCAATCCGCGGACAATCAATACGATAATGAAACTCTTTCTTATATATCAAAATAATGTAAAAAGTGCCATCGCAGAAACTTAAAGATGGGTTTCCTCATTTTTAGTGTCAAATTAAGCAAACCTTTTTGATGAATTGGTGTTTCTAATGAGTTATCATGTATTTTTAATCATATCAATTTGTTCTTCTTGCATATAACTAAATGTCCATATATGTACAGTCTGGATCAACAAAAAAAGACTTTTTGACCTTTCTTGGTCGGGTTACTCATTGGAATTCTGGTGGTAATTCTCTTCTAATTTACCTAATTATGAATTAATTATGGACATGTGAGACAAACTGATATTTTTCCAAGTCATTAGCACACATCTACTTTCTATTCATATAAGTATTGGCATTTTCATTTTCATAAATGAAAATAAGAGAACCCATCTTTAAGAGGACATCTTTTCCCCTTTTGTTGGAAGCTATTTCCCCTTTTTTCTTTTTTTAATCTCTCTCTTTCCCTTTCTTTTCTCACACTCTTTTTTTTTTCTTTTCAGGTCATCCAGTTTTCCAACAATCTAACCAAACCCAACGACCATCATTCGACTACCAATCAACCCATTACGAGTAACTCATAACTTGTTATCTATCACCAACCAATCAACCATCTAAAATGTATATTATAATAGATCTATCAAATCACAGAATAACCTATTATTAATTCAAACAGCCAATAACAAAAAAGGTTGGTATCAAATAAGTCTATTTTCTATCAAGCTGAAGATGAATGAATAATTTAGATGTTTATGAACAGAGTAAGTCTTTTTTAAACGCCATCGGTTCAACCTTGATGAAATGCTTATTAAAAACAAAACAGCATATTATGATGGAATAAAATAGACATTTACTTTGTGACATGACACATGTGTTAGCAAATTGTAGATGAAGGCCTACAGAAATATTTTCCGTGTTTAGAAGCTAAAAATTTGATTCGTGTCGAGGACACTGGAAAAAATTCTTAAAAAAATATTTTCCAATTCGATTGATTTTCGATACGGTTCATTCTTGGGTGATAAGCCTATAATAGTAAAGAATTTCACACAAGGATTAGTAATAATCCACCAAGAATTGTGCCTCTTGCCTCTTCGTTCCCACGAAGTCACCGCTTGGGTCATAATAACCTTGCATAAACGAAAAACTGTGACTTTCCAGGTTTTTTCAAAATTTTGATTTTGAAGACAATAGGATTATTTGTTGTTATCTTAGCATCGAGTTATAGCCAATTAAACAACAATTTCTTCAGATAATTTATTTAACATTTAAATGACATATAACAAACTACTTTAATTTTAACAAATGAGAAAACGGAATCAGCAAATTCAAACACATTTACATTATTAGTGAATTGTTCTCTGTTCTGAAGCAGACGAGCTTCGAGGGTCTTGTACTTTGGATTGCTGTACAACATCCTCGCTTACAGCTGGTGTAATTGTTGATTATTATCATTGTTGATTGTCAACCCCGTGAAACACTAAAACACATATTTTCAATGTATATATATAGTTTCTTTATTGACTTTTTAAATCATATAGTTGAGCCCCCCTTAAGAAAATTTGGCCCCCCCTGACACCCTGGGCTCCGGGCCTGCGTAGTCGGCTAGTTCTACCAATCATTTGGCATTTCACCCATGGCATTGACGAAAACTTCCTCTACCATATTACTTGGTACCATTGGCAAAATAGCACATCTTCGAAGAAAACGGGTAACTTCTCCATACTGTCGTTGTAGACAACATTGCTGCGTGTGTCTGCATATACACTGCGTATAATGGAAGAAACAACCTTTCCATTGGGATTCTGGAAAAACTGCCAACGATGCCTTCTTCGCAGCAATCTCGAAATCCATTTAAAAAACAAAAGAAATAATCTGACAATTCTATACGAGCGATCATTATTTTTCAAAAACAAAAAAAAATGTATTTGAAGAAAGGCAACAAGATATCTTTCTTACCTGAACCATTCTTGGTGACAAGCGATGACCTAAATCAAGGTAAACATTCTTGTATAGGTTTCTTCTCTCTTGTCAGGAAGGAAGAAGGAAGAAAAGGAAAGAAAAAGAAAAGAGTAAACATCACACCATCTACCATTCCATGGATAGAGTACTTCTGGTAAAATAGTTTGGGACAGACAAAAAGTACCATCATCCCTCGCCAAATGATGTAAATTTCGTGTTGTCGAGAAGCCAAGAATTCGATCAACAGTGCCAGCACAGAAACATTTCACCCGATTTCGTATGTTGAAACTCACCTGGAATTTCAAGTTCACTTGCTGGAAACTTTGGAAGCACTGCATGCCTGGACCGATAAAGGGTGTTCTTCTTAGACCAGAATGTAGGCATTGAAGAGATTATTTCTACGTTGTCATCATTCCACTCTCACAATCTCGACATTTCTTCTGAATAAAGTGATATATATATATATATCAAATGGTGAATAAAGTTCAATATTTTAATCACAGATGCCAAAACAGTGAGTTACATCGTTAAATAGTAATTAATGCAGGTGAACAATTTTCAATTAATGTAAGTGAACAATTTTCATGAATTTTTGTCACCGTTAATGAGGTCTTAACACCTTTAATCTCTTGGCGGCATTTACCTCAAATCATCAAAGAAAACAAAACGGTAACTTTCATGAAAAAGGCACTAACTCATAACACGATACAACTTCAACATTTGGAGGTATATTATTCTTTTCAAATATTATTGACTGGTATAGCCTCTTCAGATGTCTTGTTTTCGGTTGCTATTTATTTATTTATTTGCCAGTCTTCCGAGAACAGCTGGGGATTATAAGGAAATTTGGCCGTTAAGAAATTGTACCATCATACTGAATGACTGAAACCCGCCATTTTGTACAGTGGTGTAACGTATTTTCGTGCATATAAGGATTCACCGAATTTCGTCAAAGTTAAAAAAACAATTTTTTTTTAATGTCTTAGATGTTTCCTCAGATATTCTACAAAATAATTAAAATTGGTTTGTTTCGATTTTCTTTATGACTCATATTTCATGAGCAACCAACTCGGCAACGGCGGCAGAATGCGTCACCTATTTTCGTTTACAATGTTTGATCTATAAATAAGTCGGGAAAACACGTTGTATGGATACCGCGTGGTAAAATTAACTTCTCTTAGTATTTATCTTTAATATCAATTCATTATAACTAGTAACAATTCCTTCAAAGAACCACGATTTAAAAGAAATAGTGACTGACAAATAAGATACGTAGCGTGATTTATTGCTAAAAGTCACTGAAACAACATAAGAATATGGCCCACTTTGTGTTCCATGGAAATTTTCTGCTGACACGGAATCCGCTAGTTGATCACGTGACTTTAGTTGGACTACATTCTAGCAGACGACATTTGGAAATCCGATTAACGCTTGGGATTATAAGGAAATTCGGCCGATAAAAAATGGTGACATTTGGTAATAACTGAAATCGGCCATTTTGTATTTGTCAAAGTAAACATTAATAATACATTTTACCTTGCTTGAAACTACTGAATTCATTCTACTAGCTGGTATTGTACAGATAACCCATGTTTACCACAACAAGCAAATGCGGAGGTCACGCGAGGTCGCATATGTAAATTATTAATCCTTTCCGGAAATGCACGAAAAATAGGCTAGCACGAAATTAGGTTACATGACTGTATATGTTAGAAATAGATATTGAATTTGACATTGCTTTGAAACGATAGGAAAAATTGTGCAGGTTGACATTGTAGAGATGCTAACCCATGTGAATCAAAAAAGCAAATGCGGAGGTCATACGAGGTCGCACATGTAGGCCTAAATTAATTATTATTTCCGGAGATGCACGAAATTAAGTTACGTGACCATATTTAATTTATATTTATAAATAACAGTTTTAAATCATGGGGGTTAATATTATTAAGTCTATGTTTTAAATCCTCAAGGGAGGTAATTTTGACTAGCTACGGGAAGGAACTGATCATAAAATGATATTTAATAAGTACTTGATATATCATTTCCTAATATCTTATTTGGAATTCGTGATTAACGAAATGCAATGATTGAATGATATTTAAGAGTTAAAATATGACGCATCAGCTACATTTATACACCAAATTACGACATCCAACATTTACCTTCAGACTTATTTTCGTAAAAGCACATGGCCGACTGGTATTTTGTAAACAAAACACTCGTTTCACAGATATAAAATGGCACTTCGGCTTCGATCAGCTGCTAACACATTTGATGGAAGTGACGATTCTTGTGAATCAGATTCGGAAGAAGAAATTGATATGAATAGTAATTGTGATTCTAATAATGAGGGCATTGATGCTGATCAAAAGGATTTTGATGATGCCGATGGTTTGTTTGTACTACTACTCTATATGACTACACTGTTTTCTGAATTGAATTTTGGCTAAAAACGTTCATATGCATTGTATTATCAATTCCAAAACACTACCGAGAGTCTTGGATTGCCTTTTGGTTGATGAAAATGTCAACCATTGGAAAGGTTATTACTTGTTAATACTGAGTCAGAATGGACTTTTCAGTTTGATTTTCACATCAATTTTCTGGTAGTACATGTATCTATTTGAAATGTAAAATCACAGAACCTTATATTTAAGACTGAAATTATTAAGACTTCTAGCATTAAAGGGACAGTTGCACCATTTTGGGGGGTTGATTTGTCTTGAATATATACATAAATAGTCTTCAGAACAGCGGCTGTGATCTGTTTTTTAAACAGAGAGGGGCACATCTTTTTGGGCTCTTGGTCGAAGGGCCGTCCGTAGCCAGCCAAGTCCATTTGGGTGGTCAAACGTCAAATCAAGGGGGGCAGTTTAGGTATCCCCTCCTCCCCTCCCGGAAAACTTTGTGAATTTTAAGTAGTACAGCAGTGCTCTCTATAGTGTTATTGCTATCTTTATTGAAGCCGAGGATGCCCATTGGAAGCCTGGAAACACCATTTCCTGAAGTCTGGGGACCCCCTCTAGAGAATTCTTGATAATTTCACTCCCTGAAATGCGATTTCCTGACATTTCCTTTCGAATTTAAGGTTTATTTGTATAGGGACTGCGGGACCACCACAAGAAAATTTTGAGAATATGATGCCTGGAAACATTATTTCCTGACATTTCCCAGCGAATTTAGGGTTCAAGATTATTTGTACAGGGTCCGTGGTGTGCTGTGAGAAAATTTTGAGAATTTTACGCCAAAAATGCAGTTTCCTGACATTTCCCGACAAATTTAAGGCTTAAGATTATTTGTCTTATAACAAAGACTCCCTTTGACTCAGTAAAATGAATTAATGTATTTGAAAATAACTACTGACATTTCTTATTAGGGGTGGCAGATATAGTTTTGGGTCAGTTTGTAGGGCAAGGGAACAGTTTTTTTGAATATTGAAACGACAATTAAAAGTAAATAAACATTAGTTATTCTTCTCTGACTCTGAATAATTCAATAATCGTTTAAATTATTTGGACAACCTCTCTTAGAGCTACCTCCAATGTACAATTTATCGATACCCAGATAATACCAGAGATCATCGTTGTATATCACGATTATCTATTATATTTATTTATATATTTACCAACTATAGTGGTCAATTGAATGAATGAAGTGAATTTGACGTCCAGGTCAATTGTGTGAATGAATTGAATTGTCTTTAATGGCTATTTATCAGGGGGGGACAATGTATGATGTCCCCCCCCCCCAGTTAGAAATTAGGAGGTGGGGGCATGTCCCCCCCAGGATCGTCTCTTCAGAAGTACTAGAAATGTACAAAAATGATATAATTCTTTTAAAAATACTTTGAACTAGGAATTATATGCTCACTATGCTAAATATGTCTCTTAAATTGACGAATCATCATTTTAACATTCAAATGCAGAAATATTTAAAGGCTCAAATTTCGACGGTTAGCAGTGATCACTAGCACTGATTAGCTCAGATAAAAATTCCATTTTCTGAGACTAGAGTATGATTGGTCACAAAATAATGGTCTACATGTCCCTTTAAAACTGCAAATCAAGCATGCTATCTGAATTTGAGTTCTATAATTTTGGTCCATTAGATATTCCCTTTTACACCTTATTCGTTATAAGATTAAAACAAGTGATGAGTTTTTGAGATTCTATTAATAGATTTATATAAAGAAGAAGAAAATAATTATATAATACATAGTGATGATGACAAATCAAGTGATGAAGGCCCAGATGATATTGGATTTAATGTCAGTAAAAATGAAGCATTAAAAAATATTCAACAAGCTATCACTCTCTTGAAGAATGACAAAGTATCCAAGAAAAATAAAAGAAAGCAAAAAGAGGAGTTATTTCAAATGCAAAAGGTATTTAGAAGAAATATATGATAAGGCTTTTATAGCTTTCCTGCTTTATTTGATTATCATGACTTGTTTCATGGAGCTAACACTTTTTATAAGCCCACACATTAATGTGTATAGTCACCCTTGTCTGTCTGTCTGTCTATCCACATTTGTTGTGGACACGATAGAGAGCTGGTTTCATGATGGATTTTGACCAAATTTGGTGTTGATTTTGTAAATACCAAATGATGAACCCTATTGAAAATCAGACAAATTGCCCTTGAAGATTTGTTGTGGACATGAAAAAGGGCTAGTTTTTTGAGGGATTTTGGTAAAATTTTGTGTAAATGTTTATCACTTGAGGATGAACCCTATTTAAAATCAGACAAATTTTTTATATGAGTTATTGTTCTTGAAAACATGTTCAATTTATATTTGAAAATGACTTGTGGACACGACAGAGAGCTTGTTTCATGATGGATTTTGATAAAATTTGGTGTGAATATTTGTTATGACGCAAGAATAAACCTTATTGAAAATCAGACAAATCGAAAAATATTGAAAATTTGATATTTGCTATTGCCCTTGTTCTTGAAACAAATTGTTAGCTCATAAGCAGTCTAGAAGGCAAAATTCTTAACACATTTGGACGAAACTTTATAAAACAAATACCTAGATCTTAAATGTTGCATTTACTGATAGCTCAAGTCAACCTCACGGACAACTTTGCTACCATTACATTTGTGGGCGTATCATGATGGCCATAACTATTTTTAACACCTGAAACAATTTAAATAATTGGAGTTGATGATAGAGGCTAAAAAAGCAAGAAAACCTCTTTTACAGTCCAATCCAATTCAAGTGAATGATACAGGCATAAGTGTTAACTCTTATTATTGAACACATAAACACCATCAGGACAGTTTGATCCAAAATAGTTCATAATAAATTATCAATATTTCAATTGTATGATAGAATCATCTAAGCATGTTTTCTTTGTCCAGAAAAAGAAATTAGCAGAAATGGAGAAGAATAAATTATCAGAAGATATTCTAGAAGCTGTTTCAGGAAAATCTTTTAAGGCAACAAAACAGACAAATTTTGAAGAGGAAAAAACAAAAAATAGTAAGTAAAAAAACAGACTAATGATACGATTCACTTTCACAAGTGGTAGCTTATGAATGTATATTGAAGAAATCAAATGAGAGTTCATATTGGTATTTGAAATTATTATTTTGGACTTTATTTATGAAATCGGTTTGTGATGTGTATGCATGAGAGGGGGATTGTTTTATCAATTTTTTTAAAACTTTGTAAACCATCAATTAATTTTATATGAACATTTTTGGAAAAGTGACATCATTTTAAAAGCCACAGTTTTATTGTATATTAGTTGGTTGTAATAAATATGTGAGCTATTACTTTATTGTGAAAATATTTGGTTATTTCAGGTCGTATTAGGTTTGAAGAAGATGAATTGTTTGATAATGAACCTGTTGTAGAATCTGAGGAGTTTATTCCTTTAAACAGGTATTTTTTACTATTTTATTACCTGTCTAAAGTGAGCATATTATTGAGGGATTTGTCAGTCATTTGAACGGAAAAAGATGGAACTATTTTGTTTTCTATGTGGCCATCTCTGTTTAATATACAAGGTTTACAAGCAGCATTTTAATCTCAAAGTTCATACTAATTTTGTAATTTTGATTGCTTCTTTGATCACCTTGACTTGTGTTATTTAAACTTAACTTCCAACCCACTCCAATTTCTGTTAATGTGCAAATTTAATGAGGCACAGTTTTTTTGGTACATTACATGATTTGAAATGATTTGCTCGGATTAGTTTTTGGTGTGGAATTTAAGCTTTGTATCATAAAGATTTAATTATCGGAATTGTTCCATATTTTTTTTTATAGCTCCAAAGGTTTAGTTGTCAAATCTGTCCAATCTAAAAAGAAACCATCACATAAAGCTAAAGATTTTCGTGATAATATGTTATATGGTAACAGAATAAAAAGAGTAGATGGTATGTCCTTATTTTCGTGATTTTTCAATCAATATGCTTAGGTTTGGTAATCACGTGATCAGAATCTTTCAGATGACACCAGTAATTAAGAAACCTTTTCGCTCTTAAATTTTGCCATTGGCAAAGCCAACCATATAGACTTTTTATGCAGTCCAGTATATTCACTTGTTGGTTTGCATCATCAAATTTATCTTGTTCAAACTTTTTTTTATAGCTCAAACATTAGAAAGACAGAAAGCCAAAAGAAGAGCAAGATATGTTTGACAGTTTAATGGCTTAAAAGAATCATAATAGATTCTGTTTTCAATGGCCAAAATTAATCATAGAACATTATTCAAATGAAGATTGAGTTCTCATTGAAGGTTGGATCAAATTCATTTTAACTTGATGAAAGACATCTTTGGCAGAATTACTCAACTTTTTTTTGTGAGAGCTCCTTTGGGGAAAGCATTTTCTTCAACCATTTTGATACGGCAAAGAAAATGTTTAGATTTAGCACTGTGTCAGCAAGGAAAAAACTAGCAATCTACCATACTGCTATGGCGGTTCTATGTTTCATTGTTCTATATATCGATTAGAAATAAATATTGCTCTTTGAATTGATGTATTGACCACAGTGACAATATTTTGTTAAAGTGTATTCTGAATTATAAAAATTGAATAAACATTCTTTTACTTAAATATCTTCAGTAAGTACATATGTTGATATAAGGTGCTCCTTATCATCCATTAAGTGGACTGTGACCTCTTGTTTTGACGATTCTCATTTTTGGAAAACGTCTTTGTTTGGAAGATAGTCTTTTAACTTGGATGCTGCCATACCTCTTTTAATGGTATTACGAGTTTGGTAGGACAAATGTTTTAAGTCTGTCAGTGATATGTTTTGTGTGGAATGCCTTTTTATACGCCCACATGAAATGAGGGGCGTATATTAGCGTCACCCAAGTCCGTCGGTCCGTCCACAATTGCTCATAAATACTCTACAAGGCACAATTCTTGACTGATTTCGACTAAACTTGGTATAGTTGTTTGTAATCACCCTAGGATGAACCCTATTGAATAATCGATAATTATTTAGTATGAGTTATTGCCCTTGTTTTTTTATCTCTTTAAAACTCCAAAAGGCACATGGATTTAGACGAAACTTGGTTGGTGTGAGTGTTTGTTATCACCAAAAGATGAACTCTATCGAAAATCAGAAAAATCAAAAAATATTTAGTATGAGTTATTGCCTTTGTTCTTCAAAACGGGTTAAATTTTTAGCTCGTAAACGCCCTAGAAGGTTCAATTCTTGACGGATTTTGTAAAACTTGGTGTGAGTGTTCGTTATCACCCAAAGATGAACACTATTGAAAATCAGAAAAATAAAAAAATAAGTAGTATGAGTTATTGCCCTTGTTCTTAAAAACGCATTCAAGTAAACACACTAGAAGGCCCAATTCTCGACAGATTTTGATGAAAGTTAGTAATATTATTATATATGACTGAAGGTTGAATATTCCATACTGATAATTGTTACTGTACTGCCAAATATTTTTATTTAAAATCAGAACTGCCAGTTGGCGTATATTACATTGCCGGGCAACAATTTATTGCTGCTTGGTGCTGTACATTTTTGATGTTCTGCATAACATTGTGCAGGTACCAGACTGTTGTTACGTATTCCAGAGTTGGCCAGATCCAGTATAGATTGGTTGGAACATGTTTGTTTCTAGGGATTTAAACGTCCTTTTTTATACGCTCACATCTCTCTATGTGGACGTATATTGTCGGCACCCCTGTCCGTCGGTTGGTCGGTCGGTCCGTTGGTCCGTCCGTCAACATTTGCTTGTAAACGCTCTAAAAACTAGATTTTTTGATGGAATCAAATGAAATTCGGTATGTGTATACATATTCATAAAACGAAGATCAAGTTCGAATTTGAGCTATTTTCGACCTTTAGAAGCAGAGTTATTGCCCTTGCCCCATAATCTTGAATATGCTATTACTCTCTTAGTTTTCAACCAATTTTGATGAAACTTAGAATAGATGTTTGTTTTTACCATCCGCATGCCGTGAAGGGCGTATATGGCTGTGGTCCACTATCTTTACCATTCCAACCAACCTATTGGCTATCTTGATGTTGTTACTTTTGTGGGAACTAAACTTGAGGTTCTCCTAGATTGCTACTCTCATATATTTATTCTATTCTTGGTTCAGTTGATGTACGGTTTGGAGTGTACTTGTGTTTCCTGTTTGTTGAAGATTTACATTTGCTGCTGTTAAATTCCATCTTGCAGGTAGTTGGCCAGTCTGTTCGTTTGACAATGTATTCTTGTATCTTGTTAATGTCTTTGTGAGACTGGGGTCAAACAGTGTTATGAAAGGGGTCATTATTTTTACGAAAGAGATTGGAATGTAAAATGAGAAAGAGCCAATGTGAACACACCAATGGGCGAAAATTGCGGCGTCTACAAAATAAATATCTACTTTTCATGAACCCCACAATCAAATATTTTAAACTTCAATTATCATTAGCACCTTTATTTCCACTATCACCATGTTTCAAACAGATTTATATACACTATAGCATACAATATAAGATTTATATATCCGGTTCAAGTTTTCGTGTTAATTTTGAACATGTACTTTACGTCTGAAATCAATTTCTCCGAGTCCAATTCGGAAGCTTTCCTTTTTATTGACTTTTCTCATGTTGAAATGATACATTCTTCCTATAATTTTATTATATATGTAACTGTTGAAGGTGATTTTTGTGGAATTAGCTCACATCTTTTAGTTAAAAAGATATATTTTATTAACGACGAAAGAGATACGTAAAAGAATTGGCTGTTAAGCAATGAAGGAATGTATCCCTCTGAATTGTTAATGTTACGGTAGAGTAGAAAGGTTTTTCTGTAATTTCTTGATAGTGAATGCTTGAACCCAATGGAAAAGGGAGAAAACGGGTATATTTGTGAACATCCAATACTGATTAGCTCAAATCCGTCATGAAATCTGCTATTTGGCGGTATCTTTCCATTCTTTTTCTTTTCTTTAATTGATCTGTAAAAGGAGAAAAATATTAAGATTTCAAACCGACATCTCTATGGAGTGAGCAGGGAATGGCTCCATTTACAAAGCAAGCCAGTTTGGATTGTTTGCTACATGAGAAATAGTTTTAAACATATTGAAAGTCATTTCCCCCTTAGAACTTTTTCCATGATTTTTTTTCATCATCTAATGTGAAATTTTCGATTGTATACAATGTATTTTTTCAAAGGAATTAGAATTTCTTGATCATCGTTGGAAAAGAAATAACCATTTCATTAAACGTTGGTCTCTGAAACTATTACTCTTTGGCATTATTTTTTTGGGTACGTAACCAGCAGGTGGAAGATTTTTATTTATTTATAAAGACTGTCCTTATTTCCATTTTAACATTCGGCCAGTTGAGTACCCTTCAAAATCTAAGGTAAGGAAATCCAAATTCAGTGGGACTTAACTTCATTTGAGGACAACACAACTTTCTACATATCGGGTCACAAGTGATTGTTATAGAAATACATACAAGGTATTGGACGGACTTGGCTGTTGGCAACCAGTTTGAAATTTAAAACAGAGTTAACACCCATAACTCAAAATATTAAAAACGCCTAAGGTGCTTTAGTTTTTTAGTTACCATTTTTTTTTATACATATATAAAACTAGATATGTCAAGTATGATTAATAAATGAGGATCAAGTGAGAACCTACCAATGAAATTATCGTTGTGTAAATGCTTTAGGTCCTTGATTTTTCAACCAATTTTCATAAATCTAAGATCCTATTTTTTCTCGTTATCACCAGTGCCTGTTTAAGTCACACCTGACCATCACAATAATTTGGCCAAGGTGTGTAGGCGGTTCAACCGTAGGCTACATGATTAATGAATAGAGTAAATAAATCCATGTCAAGCTTTATTTAGTACACGATATACATTAATCGATAAGAAACATCCAATCCAAACAAAATTATAAATATATTATTACCATTCCTTATCTATAATGTAATGTCTGATTATGTTGAAATGATGTCCTTAAAAGTTTATGATTTTGTAATATAAATCTGTATTGAAACCTGTCTAAATCCTTTCACAACACTAGTAATTACAATAAAGTATCATTAATATGTTGCTGCCGTTTTCTGACCGTTGTGGAATACCCCTTCCTTAAAGTAAATAATGTGATACTTCTGATATCGAAAACACATCTCAGTGATATATATTCATAAATTTAATAAAAGTCTAAAAAAAAAAGCTGTATTTTCAGCTGATCACTAATGTTTTTTGTTTGATTCTGTAAAAGCACATTGGTTTGATTTTGAATTCAAACATTGAAAAATTCTTCCGACAACCAGGAGCCATTCCAAACCATCACTGCCACAAATCATTTTAGATGAACTGCTCTCAAACATTAATTAAACATTTCAAGTTGTGTTCTGAACGCTTTCATTTGTGCTTTGTATCTTCTCATGTCTGAAATATAAAAAAAACATATTATTTGTTACTGATAAAGTATAATGTGTTTTGAAATCAGAATTCCTGTAGATCAGGGGTTTTCAACCTGAGGGTAATTTTGTAATTTTTGTGTGGTAATGAGGTAGTAGTCTACTAGTTTGGAAATTATAACTGAAGTCGTTATTTTCAGTCAGACTATATTCTCTGACACGAAAAAGACTGCAGGGAAAACCTAAGAGAAAATTACGAAATAGTAAGGATTTATAAGGGAAAAGGAAGGTCATGCAATCGACCAAAGATCCTAAAAGGGGTAATAGAAAAAAAAGGTTGAAAACCCCTGACACAAAGGTACCAAATATTTTGCATTTAGACAATTTAGTTACAGAATATGTCTTTATTTGATAGAGGCTACAGTTTGATATATTTTGTATGAAACTTGGTATGCTTATTGATTTGATCTTGGATGACTATTCTGATAATGGATCAATGATTTCGGGTAAAACCACGATATTTAAAACGAGCTTGAACAGACTTAATCTTTAAGATCTGATGTTGCATGCATAGCCTTCCAAAATATAGCACTCAATACGATCGCAACGTAATTAATTTGTCCACAAATTATTGCAGTAATTAACAGTAACTGGAGAGACTAGAGTTCTCTTTGAGATTTTTTATTTTGAGGAATAACTTTTTTTACCACATTTTTGAAAATATTTTGGTATATTCAGCATTAATATTAACCTAATTCATTAGGTCTGATAATCCAATCGCTTGCAGAACGTCGATTGCTGTGGACAAAGACTTTAAAGGGCAATGGCAGCGCAGCGTTGCTTGCATCAACTGAATTAAGGTTATATTATATCATGCAATTAAAATGTTAATATTTAAAAAGTGTTAAATTGATTACATTACATACATCATGCAAAATATAAAATACAATCAAATTATACATCGTATGTGTTGTTCATCATTGATAAATTCATAATTAGTAAATGCAATAATATATAGTAATTTACAGCCAAATTCAGATCATGATAAGTTTTTAAGCATGTTTTATTTCTAGTACCACCCTTCAGGAGGAGGATATTTTCTTTTAGATCCACAGACATTATACATTGGTAAAATTGGACTTTTCGTTCTCATGCCATCCGACTCAGGCTATATTTTGTTAAAACGTAGGAAACCATACATGCTTCATCATGCAAAATAGTAGGTATGTGACATAATTATAGCGATATCAAATAAATTGTAGATGGGACACCATGCCTTTGATTTTGAACAATCTTAATATATACACTCTTAATAAATTCATATGGACTCAACAACGATGGTTATGTGTTCAGTCCAAAGAATACTGCCTCCGGCCCAAACACCGGCCTCATCGAGGCATTCATTCGTCAGAATGAGCGATAGATGGGATAGACGGGACCGTCACATGAAGTTCAGTTTCCTTGATTGTTTTCGTAGTAATGACTAATGCGTATTATAATCTGAATTTTACAATAATTGTTTACACCGAAAGTCTATATAGTTTTAAAAATACACATACGTGCTATGTGGTCATTTCTAAAAGAAACTGCAACTACATGGAGGCTATTCTAATAACAGGTAATAAGCAGGACTTCTGATAAAAAGTAATTATCAATATGAATACATACCTTTAGGTTATCAGCGGTTAAATCATTCAGTGTGTTGGTAATATAAGCTATAAGATTATACGATTAAGAAGCTGTTTGTGTGTTTGTTTATGAATACCATTAGATACGCAGCGATCTAAGAATTCTGAAGGGCTCGCGTTGGTTGCAGGCACAATGTATAAATTCAGATTTTGAATTTCAAATTGTTTCAAATGTTATCAATGAGATATTTTGATCAGACATCTTAACTCGGGCAATTAAATATAAACTGTACCATGGAACTCCTGCCTTTTCATCTGGAATCTTGAATGGATTTTTGATTGAGAACCGGACGCGTTTTTTTGTTAATCTGAAGAAACGTCTAGTCGAAATTACACCAAACAGCATTCCAGTCTAGTAACTATTGCAGATGCTTCAATGTGGCGATGCTTGTGTCTAGAATCTCTTATCTCATATCTCCCTTTTACAATAAATAGTGACGGTTGTGGCAATTTTAGGAGAACTCCCATTGTAGGAAGCTAACTATAAGCTCTACACATTTAGTATTCAACATATGAAATGGGTTTCACTCCAAAGGGTACTGGAGCAATATTATCGAATATAAATATCGAGTATAATTTCATTATAAGTCATTACCCAGTCACCTTTTACACATATAACACTATTTTAGTAGGTTATCAACATGCTTTGTATAATAGTTTATCACAATACAGATTGTAATTACAACAGTAACACATACACCTATAACTTCTTAGAATGGACATAAAATTTCAAATCTCAAACCTGACCAATAAGAGTATATTATTATATTCACAAACAGGTGTCATAACTAAACAGTAGAATCATCCCTGTATGTGACGATAAATCCCTTAAACTAAATATTTATTGAAAAAAGTTTAAAAATATTTACCGTTTTTCAAAATTTAAATGTAGTTTTATAGATAATTACTTAGTTTTATAGATTATTAGGGTTTTCTATTGTATAGTTATGACAACAGGTAAGTCCAGTGATGATCAGAGACCAGGTTTGAAAATTAAAATTTTTGGGTCATCTTCGTGCTCCGTAAGCACTGGTATGGTTACTAAAGGAACATGGGTCTTCCTAAGAGGTAGTATTCCTTTAAAAGGAGAACAGATTAAATAGGAATTCTATCCACTGTTACAGTGAATATTACTAGGAATATTTTCCTTTAAATTATTTTTGTTATCATTATGTTATCGATATTAATTAATATTAATAAAAGGTAATGTCCAGTACAATTTCCATCCCATTTAATTAACAAGATGACTTGAAAATAGGATTGTGGCATTAATGACTTAATTCTGCGTTCTATGCCACACAAATTGCAAAATGTAGAGCGTACATTTGAAAATTGTGGAAGTTTCGCCATGCTTTTAACATGTGTTATATTCGTTTGCGCCCCCAACTGTACCCCCACTTTATTTGTATTTTAAGCCCCAAAATAGAGTTGACGCATTTTGATTCAGTCTCTACAGTTGACATCCCCCACCCCCATAACGGTGTTATATACTTCAAATTGTCCAAAATACCCAAGCTCTATTCAGAATATTAATTGTCTTGGAAAAACCATAATTGACAGTTCTGATGAATCACAATGATGCGACACTGCCTGTCAATGACGTGTACATTAATATTAATAGAACATCAACAAATTAAGGTTATAGCATGCACGTAATTTAATGTTCTTGTTATTATCTGTTAACCTTACATGTATGTGCACATAATATATTATCATCATCCGTGTCCGGTTGTCTGCTGCCTACAATCGCTTGTTAAATGTTTTGGTTTATCAGTCGATTCGTATAAAGCCCATTTTTAGATGTAAACCCAACAATAATGCCAACTTATATCCTCTGACTGTCATCACTTCTGAATTCTCGCATTTCAGTTAAGGCCTATCACCATCTACCAAAACGTCATCGATAATAACGGAATAAATTTGAAATGCTTACGATTTAGAAGTGACGACAGTTTAAACTAGATTTCTATGGTACGATTTCATTTCTGAAATGCCATACGTAACTCTTCAAACAGGTAAATATAAAAAATAAACTTATATACGTACGGTGTTGGAATGCAATATAATCTAAATTTCTGATTGGTTGCGATTCGGCTCTATACCATCTCCTTCGTCTAACATCGGGATCAGGGGTAACATAAGCCCTGTTAAAATAAATCAAACATTTAAGTTTCACGTAACAATGATTTCAAATGAAACTCCATGAGAGAATAAACCCTCGTGTTATCGTCAGGTTGTTGGGCTTTCTTTAGCACAAGGTATCTTCCTAAATATGTTGAAGACAATCACAACATCATTAGAACCCCAAATGCAGTTGAACAAGATCGGATATATTGTTGACCATCACAGGCTTTTAAGTGATGCCATCGTTTACATCTAATCGGGATCAATCCCTGTTTTGTTGGAGTGTTGGGCCATGTTATTCGACTAAATAGTATATATGAAGATAGCTTGCCTAGCAAGGTAATATACACCCCAATTGGCAGCTTTGATAAAAATATTTGGCAGTACAATAACAATTAACAGTATGGATTATTCATTTACTTCTTTTATTGGGTGATAATGAACAATATTATCAAGTTAGGTCAAAATCTGACATAATTGTATCTTCTGGGATGTTCACGGGCTAAAATTGAACGCGTTGTCAAGAACAAGGCCCATAACATGTTAAATATTTTTGAAAAGGTTCATCTTTGGGTTAAAATAACAATTTCAGCAAAGTTCATCAATTTATCTCAAATATTGTGCCTTCTTGTGTGTTTACAAGCTAATAATTGAACACGTTTTCGAGGTGAAAACCCCACTATTCTTCGGGAATAGAAAGTCTTTACTTTTCAGTTGTTAACAGTCACATGTGCCATGTCATTAACTCATTCAAATTATTACATTTCAATCTCACACAACTTCAACTTACACAATTTTAACAAATGGTCTTTTTATTAAATCAAATTCTGATGTTGGTGGATACCATATACCAGTTAAATTAAATTTCAGTTCTCTATCAGAATTGGCCACAATAGCATCATTACCCCAGACACTGTTATAACAAGACAGGGCTCTGGATATTTTGTAATTGTCAGGATTTTTTGGTAACCAGTATCCGAGTGTTTTTATTCCCAACGCTGCTGTCGAAGAGTTTTTAGCCGTTTCTGGTACGTGCACATAAGCATCGGCAATAATTGGGCCGTATGCATGTATTGTCTGGTATAATTCCACTGAAAATATAGAACCAAATAATTAAGAAGCTTAAACATATACAACCATACAACAATAAATATTCAAAAGTATTTTTAGATTAATCAGAAAGTATATATTCCTGATGATTCATATCACAATATGCGTTTAATGATTAACAAACTGTAACTTGTGTCATTTGTGTTATGTACAATTCACAAAGCATTTTAGCAATTGGTTCAATTGGCGAGGCTCTAGTTACGATACAGGTAGGATAGAGTTACGAATATTCGACTGGATTCGTCTACGAATTAGACAAGAATATGTGCGATAAGGTATGAATAAGAATGAATTCTTGACGGTTCACGATAATTCTTGAAGTGTTCTCTAGCTATAAAAATACGCCATCCATGCTTGGACACCAGTTTCAAAATAGATGTTCAACGTAGAACAACTTTATTATTGGCCCTGGAATGAGTTAATATTTCATTACGATTCAGTAACGATGCTTAGAAACTTTGAACCGCCCAAAAACGTTTGCCGCGAATTACCGATTGCTTAAGAATTGTAACAACGAATCGGTTTCACGATCTAATAACGATTCAATTGCGAATCCTAGAATTTATGAATTCGTGGTCTCTGTGGAATAGTAGCATTATCAAGCACCTAAATCGTAATTTGAATTAGTGCAATATTCTCTTGACAACACTCCAAAATACTCCATAAAGATCCTAATTGAAGGATACCATAGCTATCAAGATGTTGATTGAAAGATATCATGGCTAGCAAGATCTTGGTTGAACGGTATCATAGCTATCACGATCTTGGCTGAACGGATTCATAGCTATAACGGTCTTGATTGAAAGATATCATAGCTATCGAGATTGTGGGATATCTAGATCTTAATTGAAGGATATCATAGCTATCAAGAACTTGGTTGAAGGATATCATAGCTAGCAATATATTGGTTGAAAGATATCATAGCTATCGAGATCTTGATTAAAGGATATGATAGCAATCAACATCTTGATTGATGGATATCAAGATCTTGATTGAAGGGTATCATAGCTATCAAGTTCTTGGTTGAAGAATATTATAGCTAGCATGGTCTTGATTGAAGGATATCATAGCTTTCAAGATCTTGATTGAAGGATATCATAGCCTACAAGATCTTGGTTGAAGAATATCATAGCTAGCAAGATCTTGGTTGAAGAATATCATAGCTAGCAAGATCTTGATCGAAGGATATTACGAAATGCGTCTAATAGACTGCAATAGCCACCTTTTCAGACGCTTGTAAATTTGATTTCGATTTGAAGAAGTAAAAGTGGTAACCATGCAAAGGTAATGTTATGTATGTGTTTTGTATGTTAATTCAACACTACATGTACTCTTTCCTCTGTGTTAGACTTGTCAACAGAATTTTGTTCCGTTTACATCATTCTTCCGGTTCACTGCGTAATTCGAGTCAAATATTTTCTAGATTTGATAATCCGACATAATATTTACTCTGACCTAAATTCTGCCTTAATCATGTCTATATATCATATTAACATTGTTTTAGTTATATTTGTCCTGAAAAAGAAATGAAATATTTCAGGTGTTTATTATTTCTATGTTTCTGTCACACTTAGTCACACTCCCTGTCCGTCACACTCTCTGTCCGTCACAGTTCACCATTAGGTTGTATTCCTTTTTTTTTTGCGTAATTTAATTAAAGAAGTGAGCTTATTGCTTATTCCATAATATTGTCTTGCGTTTGTGACATGCGCTCCTCACTTCATTTAAGTCTTGTATTCGCATTACAGGCTTGCAGGTATCTATTAACAGTAGATGATTGCATTTCATTCAAACGGAGAAAAACTATGCAGATTCTAATGAATAGTAAGTAAGTAATATTCTCAAAAGCTATCAGACAGATAACAAAGTTTAATTTCATTCAGATTAACAAACTTTGGCTACTAGTTATGTATCCGGTTACAGATCTGTTCAAGTTTCATTTTTAGCTCAGTTTCAATGAGACATTTTAATGATCGCGATTATTAAAAATAACGTGACGATTATATCATATTTATGTTTTTAAATGGTACAATCTCTAGATATACTAACTCACTGATTCAAATGAAAATTAGTTATGCTCTATAATTATAACACATTAATATCACCAAGGGAATGTCCCTTCAAAGCATAAAGTAAACAACAATAAAAATGCTAAATTGACAATTAATTCATAATTAAAATCCTTTTTTTTAGTATTTGGATAATTTAGACTATAGAATTTGAATTATTGTAAAGAGGATTTTAGACTTGAAAAGTGAGACCCTTTTTACTTCTATGTCCTCTGGTGGTGTTGCTTTGGTAGCTTGTAACTAAGATATTGTTTTTACACTGTTGATGTAGAAATGTACAATTTCATGGTATGTTTATACATTTTTCTGAACATTAAACTGAATGTGTGAATTAATATTGTATATTTCAAAATATTTATATGAAAGTTGCAACGAAAAGTTGAAAATTATGCCAATGGTGAAAATATTTTTAAATTGAATAATTTTTGAAGAAATAAAGTCCAATGGACGTTAATGGAGTACCAACATTGGTTACACATTATTCACAAAACCTATTGTTGTTGAACGCCCGAAGAGTCAAACCTTTGAAGTCATTAATTTCTGTATGACCTGAGACAGCTGTGAGTTTTTGAATTAGTTAGATTGGTAACTTTAACCCGAGAACGGAAAAACTACTATTTCTTTACATAGTAACTTAAGTTCATGCGAATCCTTCCATATGGACTGCGATTTAGATGTATATGTCGGCTTTTCTTCCTGGGTTTCAAATTGGAAATAAATTGAGATAATTTTCATCCTATTTTCTTGCCTTTGATGGAAAACTCTAATAAGATGAGTGGCTCTTTGTCATATATACATAAGATTTATGTAGACTTGCTGCGCAGTAAAACTAGATATACTGATAATAAATTTTCGTCAATAGCATCAACAAATTCATCAGGGATGTAAGGATATTTTGCCAAGAGCCTATTAAACAATTTAATAAAAAACGGAAAATACTGTATTACAATGATGTCCAGCGTAAACGTACACACATTTTGACGAAATTAAGGTCATTCATTTTTTTTTTGTGATCTATTCAAGTGACTAAGACAAATGAACAAAAACTTATGAATCGTCAAGTGAAATTTATGGTTTTCGTGAAATGAATGGTCTAAAAATATTTTTAGAGGTTAAGGTTCAAACGACATAAATATGTCAAGTTTTCATGAAGGATAATGCTACTGTCATGAAGTTGAGGATTGGTGAAATATTTCATTTGATTTAACTGATTTCTTTCTTTAATCTATTTTTTTTATAAATTGTCCGATAAATACACGAGAGCACATTACCCACCTGGTGGTGATCTCTTTTTATAGGTTTCTTTCTGAACGAAATCTATTAATTATTAAGTACATTCGAGTCTGAGAAATTCTAAATTGGAATTGTCTATTCTAAGCATCCTACTAAAAGATTTTGACCCTAGGAATCTTTTTCCCATTTATCTTTGATCTATATAGAAATGAATAAGTTTTACTTGCCCAACTTCAATAGGGAAGCAGGCTGAAAATAGGTGAGTTGTCTGAAGACATGAAACAGACCCGTCTGGGGGTAAGTATATACTTGTAGAATTCCGTTTGACATGAAACCGTATTAATGTATATACATATATATATATACTTGTAGAATTCGGTTTGACATGAGAAAGACCGGTCTGAAGGTAAATAATATGTAATGCAGTTCGATTTGTCATGTAACAGTCCAGTTTGGAGTTTTATAGTTTTCATGTGGAATAAGGATTGACATGCAAACAGATCATACTTCTTGTTGATAGAAACATGTTATATATAAGGTTTTGTACGAAACCGACCGGTTTAATGGTAAAAATATACATGTTTAATTAAGTTTGATATGAAAACCGACCATTTTGTAAAAAAAGGTTTTAGTGTGGGGGTAAATATTTACATGTGGAATTAGGTTTGAAAAAAGATCTTACTTTTTGTAAATAGAAACATGTAAAATTAGGTTTGACGTAAAAACAATCCAGTATGGTATATTCATGTAGAATTAGGTTAGACATGAAAACCGACCAGATTGTTTGGAAATAGAAAGATGTAAAATTGTTAAGTTCGACATGGAACTGTCAAGTATGATGTAGAATTATGTTTGATATGAAAATGTATCAGTATATTGTAAATATGCACGTGGAAGTGGATTTGACATGAAAACAGGTCAGTATTTCTATAAACTGGACGTTTAGAATGTCATGAAGAAAAAGATTAAACCTTAACTCTGACTTTTTAAAGGTGAAGTTAATGAGTTAATGGGTGTGATGGTTGGTTTACCGTCAAATACAATATTTATGGGGACATGTAGTGGAGACAGGTCACGATTCTAATCATATATCTACTGTCAGTATCTCGTAATACACCCTTTTTATGGCCTATTACTCTTCATACACTTGCTCTTATTTCCAAACTGTTTAACAGATTGTCAGAAGTTTTCATCTAAACCCTTGACAGAATCATTTCACAACATTTGTTATCTCCCAGAAGAAGTACGTGGAGCTTTTAAGTCAGAATTAACAGAACAGAGACCGTAATTCCAATCGAAGGTATACATAAACACTTCTTTTTCGGTAATGTGTTCCCAGAATGACAGGCATGCTTAATGAATCCGGAATGGTTCTAAGTTTATCCTTTACTTGCTCTATACCTAAGACGAACCCGCAATAAAACCGTTAAACCATTTATTCAAAACTATGAAAAAGATTTGAAATATCTCCCTGTCAAATAACAAATTATTTTGAGATTTTGAATTTTTCTTGATGCTTCACTCTCAAGTAATAGTAATCCTTTCCTGAATGATTTTCATAGATAATTGAACTTTTTCTGAGACGTCCAGTCAGAACTTTTTTGGCGCTACCACAACCTGGACGCGCTGGTGATAATTACTGCTCTGCAACTCAGCTGTATGAATTTTCATATTCTCGAATCTCTCTGATGTGCCAGTAGGGAAAGCTAATGGGGACCATATTTCAGTTGATGGTGATAAGACCATAAACCAGTTCATATGTATAGGCAGACGAAAGCCTAAGACCGAGAAAAAATAAAGATTGCGATGACTTCCAAAGATGGGGAATCATTGTAAAAAAAGTTGAAGTATCACACCACTTGCATCTGAGCTCTATAGCAGATATTTGAGAGGATGACTTTGTTGACCTAACGTTCCCATTTTTGGTTATTCCAAAGCAGATGGTCATCATGTGCTGGTTGATGGATGTTTTTGAAGATGCTGCAACGGCATCACTATTTAAATTCAAGGAAAGGAACATCGTGTATCGCATCAAAACAAGTCCTTGCAATGGCACAGTTATTGTATCACATCTCTTTTCTAAACCACTAACGCTTCTCCTACTAGGCTGAGATTTACAGCTTGTTCTCTAGCCATTAGATGTGCTATTCAGGTAAGATATGATATGCAAGTTGTGCTCGTAATGATGGTTTTCTAGCCTCGAGCAATGGTGCATGGCTTATCAAATCTCTGAGTTGTGACGGAAGTTGACATTTATAGTTTTACGTTCCAAAGTAATGTATCTTGTTTCTACACCTTAAAGATCTGGATAGTTTGGTCTTTCTTTTCAGTATACATGTATTATAGTCATATTGTTAGTATAGACAGATTATCAGCTTGGACAGATTGGTTTCAAAATAAAATTTTCTTTTGATAAAAGACGCTGGTATTATATATAATATTAGTAATAATAATAACAATTATTATGTACCTTATACCACTTCTTGTATTAATTCTAAAATGATATTTCCTTTTTCTCAATGACTAGACTTATGTGAAAAACTCATTCAAAGTTCTAATTAAATTATATTGGTTGATTTTATTTTGTTATATCTATGACCTTATATGCCATGGCAGAATTATACTAAAGTAAATCCTCCTGGATTATGAACTATCATTTCAAATTAAAAGGATACTACCTCTTAGAATGGACATGAAATTTAATATCTCAAACTTGGTCAACAACTGGTGTATATATTCATCAGTTGGACTCACCAAGTACCATGACTAAAGAATACACTCCCCATATAAAACAATACATCTATTAAACTAAATAATTATTGAAACACTCTTCTAAGCATGTTTCAAAATTACTTAGTTTAACGAATTATTACTTAGTTGTATGGATTTATTAGATTCTAGGGGAATTCTTTTGTAATGTTATACTAATTTTCAAAAATTTCAATTTTTAGGTCATCCTCAGAGGTGGTATACCTTTATTAATTTGAGCTATAACAAGTAAAAGTTGAAAAATCACCAAGGTTCAAATTTCAGTTCAATTCAGATGAATCAGATTCCATAATGTTTCAAAATTGAAATAGGGATCTCTTCATATTATCAGCACCTACCTTGTAATGGATGAGCTCTTCGATAAAAACTGGGACGAACTTTTAATCGATAGAATCTTCCACGGCTGACCTGTGGATCCTTTGTACATAATTCCTCTGGAAGTGATGGTCCAGTAACTGCAGGGCCGTATTGTCCTTCTAATGTTGGTAAAAAGATAGTGAGAAAAACAATAAAACACCACATGATAGTTTCCAGAACAATAAAATAAGCAGCGATTAAATCTGTCCCTAGTCGTCAAGCGTTAAATATTCAGAGGAAACTGTAGCGATGTTACTAATATGTCAGTTTAGACGGCTGCTTGTAAAAGTTTATTATCGGATGACAAGTAAGAAAAGAAAGAGATGTACCAGAGTCATTTATCATCTCCATCTCTGTCTGACATATTTCGTAGTTCATGTCAATCTTTACTTGTATTAAACAATACCATATATAATATATGAAATAACATTGCTCAAAATAGACATCGATGCACATATATTGTTTCTATTTTTTCTACCGCTGAAACCATCATACAAAGAATAATGAAGGATCAAAGATGCAATATCATGGTTGAAAGCGTTCTAGGAAAAGAATCAGAACTAACTGAATTTCAAAGTGTAAATTATTTAACAAGCGCAATTGTCTTTTTGATTGTTAAGTACATTCATACTACAAGTTATTGTTGACTAATCCTGTTGCTTTAATGTATAAAACTTGTTCAGATTACAAAAAAGGTATGTTCAAGAAAGGGGGTGTCGCATTGGGAATCCATACCGATGATATTTCCAAAGTGTTTGACTTAATTTCAATTTCTGTTATGTCACGTACCATCGACAGATTTTGGAGGTCAAGTTCTTCTATCCGTACAACTTTGCAGAATGAAATTCCCCTGGTTCTTTTATTATGAAAGAAAAAAGAACAGAATGTCAAGACAATCACCATGACATTGACAATTATCAATTTAATTGCAATACTTTATCTGTATTCAACTTATTTTTACACTGTCAAATCCTTTTGTAAATGAGAAAGGGGCGAATTGGAAAAGGGGCGAACTGAGAAAGAAGCGTAGTGGGAACAAGGTGCAAAATCGGAAGAGGGCAGAATTGGGCAAGGACAAAATGAAAATGGGTCGAATCGGGAAGGGACATAATGGGAAGTGGCTATGTGGGAAGACACCGTCAGAAGCATTAGGATATGATTTCAATAAATCGATATATTTTGCATGAAATTCATTTTGTTTATTGATTTCTATCTTTTCAAAGAAATAATACTTTGTCTATATTTGATTGATGTTGACTGGTCGTGATGCAAGGCTTCTCTATACATTGAACATATAATTGACACATGTAGGAAATGTCTAGACGTCAGTGGTCAAAATATAGACATGGACTTTGATTGATGATAGGATTGACAGGATATTTCAACATTTTAAAATTATTGTTAAATGTTTCAACTTGATAAAATTACTAACTTAGACATAGTCTTGATGAAGCGCTTTTTGTTATTTAATTGGCTATCACTGAAAGAAAAATACAAAGAGTCTTTTATAGAGTTTGATGTACCGGTTGATTATCACCTTCGTGGCCTCTTTACATTTATTGCTCTTAACGAATGAGCTGCAGGCCCGTAATTGTTCGAAGGGGCAGTAATACATCCGGAGGGACAATGGTGTATGGTTTTTTAGTTTCAGTAATCAGGATTTGGTCGGTCGATTTTTTTCTGGGGATTTGAATTTTAATTTGTCTTGGTTGAATTCAAGTAATAAAAACATTTTATTGCCTCGTCTGAAAACGTCAAATGGTCAGCTCGTTCAGAGTATCTACATCGCTAAACAGAATCTTGAAAACGCTTCAGACAAATAACTGTGTTCTCATCCACCAAGATCACAATTTCTGGATCAGAACTAATCAAGACTAATTTACCAGTCTTAGCTCTTGGTTCACAAAGCCAAATACTCTAGTCAAAGATGCAAGTCAATTGTTTTTCTTTTATGCTTTGACCCATGGGAGGAATGTGAATATGAGACCTAGTGTTGCTGTTTAGTTCTCGAGAGTACAACTGTCTGCCACAATGTGACACATACAGGGGCAAAGAGTCATGGATAAAGTTGGTTAGGAGAAGTAGTCACTTTTTCCCCCGTTTGAGCCCACGCCAGGAAATAAGATCGCCTGAATCGCCTTTTTCAAGCATTTCGAGAGATCTTATGAATTTATAATTTTTTTTTCATGAAACTTGATCATATAAAGTTGATAAAGAATGTTCTACAAAATAACTCATAGCTGATTCGATTAACGTTTTCTAAAATTAATAAAGTCGTTGCTTGAAGATAAAATCCTAAGGGAAGTTGATTTTGTCTGTACTGCGTAGTCACGTCTTGACACGCCTAGCCACGTCTTAACACGCCTAGTGAAGTACAATGAAAAATCTTTCCACCTTTTTGATTTAAACAATATTTATTTATGGCCGAGGATATTCGCCACCCGGGTGGCAAACAATTATTCGCCACCCTCATTTTTTATTTGCCACCCGTTTTTAAAACTTTAATGTCTCCAGAGACTGACATTATTATCTGTGAAGGCTATAGCGTTACATGCATTATAATGTTTTTTTTATTTTCATTAGAAACGCTTTTTTGCAATTCCTTTCAGAAAAATGTACGAAAATAACATCTACTTATAATTGATAATCGCTGTCCCATTGGATGTCCCGGTGTAAAGTCAATTTGGCCACCACTTTTTTGAATCACTTCTATGAAATTTAGTCACGATATTCATGTCACCTACAAACCTCACATGGCTCTGCATTTGTTTTTTTTTTTATGCCCGGAAGCGTTTTTTCTTGACATTTCCCGGCAAATTTAAGGATTTTTTATATAGTGTGTGGGAGATCCCACCCTTTGAAGATTTTAAGAATCGGATTCCCAAAAACGCGAATTTCTGACATTCCCTATTAGTTTAGGAAAGCGGGAACAAAAGCTGAGGGTGGTAAAAAAGACCTTAGGGTGGTTAACAAGAATTGTCGATGGTACACAGGAATTGTGAGTGGTAAACAAATATTGGGGTGGTAAACAAGATGTGAGGGTGGTGAACAAGAGCTGGAAGTGGTAAACAAGAACTGCGGGTGGTGAACAGGAACGGAGGGTAGTTAACTAGACCTACGATTGGAAACAAAGACCGAGGGTGGTAAACAAGAGCTGAAGGCAGTAAACAAGATTTTCGGATAGTAAACGGGAGCTGGGTTAATCAATAAAATCTAGGGTGGTAAACAAGAGCCGAGGGTGGTGAACAAGAGCTTAAGGTGGTTAACAAAAGTTGAGGTTGGCAAACAAGAATTGCGAGTGGTAAACAAGTATTGGTGGTGGTAAACAAGAGCTGAGGGTGGTCAACAAGAGCTGGAAGTGGTAAACAAGATCTGCGGGTGGTAAACAGGAACGAGGGTGGTGAACAAGAGCTGAGGGTGGTAAACCAATGTAGGTTGGTAAACAAGAATTGTGGCTGTTAAACTAGACCTACGGGTGGTAAACAACAGCTAGGGTGGTAAAAATTACCCAGGGTGGTGAACAATAGCTGAGGGTGGTGAACAACAACTAAGTAGGTGAACAAGAGCTTAGGGTGGCAAACAAGAATTATGGGTGTTACACAAGTATTGTGGGTGGCAAACAAGACCTGGGGGTGGTGAACAACAGCTATGTTAATGAAACAAGAGCTGAGTGTGGTCAACAAGCATTGTGAGTGGTAAACAAGTATTAAGGGTGGTAAACAAGTATTAAGGGTGGTAAACAACAGCTAGGTTAATGAAACAAGAGCTGAGAGTGGTAAACAATTATTCAGGGTGGTACAACAGCTAGGTTAATGAAAAACAACTAGGTTGGTAACAAAGAGTTGGGGTGGTAAACAAGAACTGTGGGTGATATACAAAAACTGATGGTGTTGAACGATAGCTAGGGTGGTAAACAAGAGCTGAGGGTGTTAGGGTGGTAAACATCAACTAGGTATGTGAACAAGAGCTGTGGGTGGTGAACAGGAGCTGAGGTTGGTGAACAGCAACTAGGGTGGTGAACAAGAGTTGAGGGTGGTTAACAACAACTAGGTAGGTGAACAAGTGCTTAGGGTGGTAAACAACAGCTAGGTACGTGAACATGAGTTGAGGGTGGTGAACAACAGCTAGGATGGTGAACAAGAGTTGAGGGTGGTAAACAACAACTAGTTAGGTGAGCAAGAGCTTAAGGTGGTTAACAAGAGTTGAGGGTGGCAAATTGTAGGTGTTACACAAGTATTGTAGTGGCAAACAAGACCTGGGTGTGTTGAACAAGAGCATTGTTAATGAACAACATCTAGGGTGGTAACTAAGAGTTAAACAAAAGCAGAGGGTGGTAAACAAGTATTGTGAGTGGTAAACAAGTATTGAGGGTGGTCAACAACAGCTGGGGTGGGAAACAACAGTTAGGTTAATGAAAAACAACTAGGTTGGTAACAAAGAGTTGTGGGTGGTAAACAAGAACTAAAGGTGGTATACAAGAACTGATGGCGGTGAACAACAGCTAGGGTGGTTAACAAGAGCGGAGGGTGGTAACCAAGAACACCGGGTTATTATCACCCGTACGCATTACATACCATCCAATATCAGTATTGTGTATCATCGTACGCCTTATTACCATCCTTACACATTACTGACCACCCGTCAGTATGGTTTATTATCGTACGCCTTATTACCATCCGTATACATTACGCACCACCCGTCAGTATTGTGTATTATCGTACGCCTTATTATAACCCGTACACATTACTTACCACCCGTCAGTATTGTGTATTATCGTACGTCTTATTACCACCCATACACAGTACTTACCACCCGTCAGTATTGTGGATTATCGTACGTCTTATTACCACCCGTAGACAGTACTTACCACCCGTCATTATTGTGTATTATCGCACGTCTTATTACCACCCTAAAACATTACATACCACCCGTCAGTATTGTGTATTACTGTACGCCTTATTACCCCCCTTAAACATTACTTACCACCCGTCAGTATTGTGTATTACCGTACGCCTTATTACCACCCGTACTCATAACTTACCACCCACAGTATCGTACGCCTTATTATACCTTAAACCTGATTACTTCGAATACATATTTCCACCCACCCCAATGCAGTGTATTTACCACCCACATACATTACTTACACATTCGCGATGGCTCCAACCATCTTTGGATTTTTCGATTCGATTTCTCCTCGTCGGTGTTTGGGATCGGAAGGGCTTACTTGGAAAATGCGTCTAGGATAAATGTGACACAATTTGGACACGCGCCTGCTATGTCTTATTTTTTACTATTTACACATCTTCATCAACCTTTTTTATTCCGGGTGGCGAATATCCACGGCCTTTACTAGGTATATTTACACCTATTTGCGCACAGCTCAATTTACATTGTCGCGCGGGTTCCGTAACATCGTTTAGCGCAGAGTTTGATAATCATATTAGCCACAAAAGTGGTGGGGACCATCCATATTGTGTCCCCAACACTGAAAAAGGGGTGATAATACAATATTACCAAAAGTTTTTAATTATATATCATTTCAAAGTTACATGAACACACATACATATTATGCCAGACAGACAATTTCACTGTGATGAATAAGAGCATTTAGAGCAACCAGAATAACAGTTTGCTTACACCTATTGTTCAATCCATGAATAAACTTTCAGATGATTTATCAAATAGACGACAATGATAAATTTGATACTCAACGGGCCTTAAAGTAAACACCATATTATATAATTATTTGTTGTCTTCATCCATTCATACCCCAGTTTGACGTCACAGGATTTGATTGTATAAATTGGCATATGACGTAAGAGCTTCTCACAAACTTGTCCATTTTTAGCCGGACTGCAGGCCCCATATTCTCGAAACGATCTTAGCGGTAGGAAGTCCTAGAATCAATGTTAGAAGATAAGAACCTAGGACATCCTAGAGCTAAGATCTTTTCGAGGATTCAAAATATATTGAAAGGATTAATGATATTTTTGAAATATATTGTAATAATAAACACAATCTGAAACTGCTAAAAATAAATATGCACATAACTTTAAATTTGTCATACAACTGAATGAAAATTACATTGTATCGGTAGGCCTATACCTATATAAACATGCATAATATTTAAAACACAGAATTAACAAGTGATCTTTATACCAAACTATCCTGAATTGTCAAGATGTATTTGATATGTCATTTGACATTTCTTGTCTTAAGCTAAGATTTGAATACATTTATCCCCGAGCGACAGTTTTGTATTATTGAATTGATGATCACTATAACCATTTAGAAGATAGTTGAACTATCTAATGTCGGTAATGTTCAAATTTAAGAAAATGAAGTTAGCTTGCCCGGCAAGATAATATACAGGTGGGTTTTAAAAGCCAACCGCCTACCGCTGCAAACCGGCATACGGGAGTGAAAAAAAGGCGCTAAAATGAGCATTGTTAAATTTAAGGAACGTAGATTTTCATACTACAAAACGAAACTATTCAATTTGACGGAATTATATTTGACGTCAATATTTTAGAATCAAAATTATTTTAAAAATGAAACGCAACAAATTAAAACAAAAGCTCAAAACTTTTTCCTATATTCAGAAAATGATATTCAAGAACACCTTCAGAAACACTTTTGCTAAATTTAAAGGATTTCTTGAAACTTCGTTTATCCTTTTTAAACAGACCAATGACTAGGCCTATATTATGTCTAGGTTTAGGTAATCTGATATCTGTGCCTAATTTTTAAATATACTTTAGACTATAGGGCCAAGTTACTCACCGAATTTTCTATCTTTATCCTTAAAGGTTGGTATTTCAGTTATCATCTTCCTGACATCAGAATACTTCGGATTGCCATGCTTATAATAAGTTTGCCTCATGACATGACAATCACCAATATTTTCACAATGATTAGTCGCAACTTTTTCGATCAACCAACCATCATCACCATGTGGTCTCGTCCCCCCCCCCCATCTCTTCCTTTAAAGGTTCTATATTTGGACACCTGATTTTTCGAAGTACTGGAAGTGTGCTTCCAGTCTTGGTGAAGATTTTTATCATATATATTCATCATATATTTTTACATATAGGCCTATCGATGATTCTGTTGGATTAACAGGAGGAGCATTCGCAGAATTATTATAGTCTACGTCAAGGATTAATTTTGAAAAAATTCTTATAGATGGAAGAAAGATTCCTTGGCCTTGATGCTCCATGTTCCCGACGACAGTAAAAAGTTAAGGGAAGTAACTCTGAAACAAACGACCTTGTTCAGTCGTTGTGATCATTAAAAAAAAATCTAGAGGTTTTGTATGTTATATTGTGTGCCCCATTTTATTTTTAAAAGAGATTATTGCTATTTTAAACACGAATTGAATCAGAAAATGTGAAAGAAAATATCTCAAAGCAAGATAAGAAATATCGCAACATAATTTCTTTCAAAAATATCTCAAACTAGAAATTATAGTCGCTTTCAAGATAAGTGCAATGCAAAGGTAAAATATTTGAAAATTGCAGGGGCTCTGATGGATACCCCAAGTATAGCACTTTCAACTTTCAAACCCCGATAATTGTTGAAGCACATGGATTTGAAGTCTTTGAATGTCATTTAGCAACAACAATCACTGGTGAAAGTTTTATGCAACGTTTCGACTTGTTTCTCCCGTAGTCATATGTGTCTGAGGATAACGGGGGGAAACACGTCGAAACGTTGCATAAAACTTAAAACCACGGTGGTCTGTGAACACTTTTACTGTTTAACATCCCTTATCTGAGGATAGGTCAAACGGATGGTGAACCCTTCAATTAAGCTTACGTTTATCAGAATTGCTTTTAGAATATTGATTAACATTACTCTGTTTAAATTAAGTGAAGAAGAAGAATCTAGGTATATTTATATGTTTAATATCTATATAAGAATCAAGTCTGTTGAAAATAAGATGTAAATCTCTGATAAACAGCTGGACTGATGATAGTTTCAACTATTAAATAATTACAATCTTTATCAGCCTCAATATTTTGTACTGTAGCTTCTTTATATAACCAACTGAAATATATCATAGTGAAAAAATACATAAACAACTAATAAACCACAGAAACAGTAAAAATATCTTCATAAATTCCAGAAATGTTTCTGTGATGCCTTAACAAGTAAAAAGTTAATTTCTGACCTACATCATTGACAAGAGGAAACCTGGTTTAAAATCTGATATTGTGACCTGAACTGGGATTGAACCTTGTAACTGGTTAAGCTGACAAATAAATGAGCTACAGCAGCTGAAAATATAAATTATAATTGACCTATAAATGTTATAGCCAAGTTGAAGTATTACCTTAATTCTGCTCCACCATTTGGAATACGAAATGTTTTATATAATTTACCAGTAACTGTTATTAGTTTCTGTTGTATTTGTAATTGTAAATCTTGTAAACCCTGCCCAGTAGCAGCTGATACAAATAATTTATCATTTTCTTTTTCTTCTTGCAATTTCTCCCTACAATAAACAAATCAAAATAACAGTCATCTGGAGATGACACTTCAATTTGTCAATGGTCATAGAATATATACTAGGGATAAATTAGAGCATAATCAATTTTATATATATATTTTTTTAGCTCAAGAATTATTCAGTCTGATTAGAATTAGAACAAACTTTCGTTCCGTCTTTAGACCCCAACTGAAGTGGCTATATAAAAATTAAAAGTTAATAAAACAACGGAATGAAAGTTTCACAGCAAGTTATTTCATATTGCTCTGTATGATATAGAAATAAAAATTAAAAGATGCTTACAATGGGACTAGATCTGTCTTATTGCAAACTTCTATAATACTGTGTAGTCTATCTGGTGGTAATATAGATGATAATGTATCTAATACATTATGTTTTTGTCCTGATGTATCAGGATGACTTATATCACGTATGTGAATTATCACATCCTGTATAAAAAAATAAGAAATTCTAAATTACAATGATTGAACAATTTTAATATTTAGGATAGTTCCTTCTGAAAAAAAAAAAAACAATTCTTACAGCTATAAATGTAAACTGACACTTACCGCTATCAAGGCATCCTCTAGTGTGGCTGAGAAAGCTTGTATGAGGTTGGTAGGTATATCAGAAATAAAGCCTACTGTATCAACATATAAAGTTTTCATATAATTCGGTAATACACCAGCATGTACAGTAACATCTAGAGTGGCAAATAACATGTCTTTAGGTTCTAATTTATTATCTCCTGTTAACGCTTTAATTAGAGTTGTCTTTCCTGAAACAATATACAATCAAAACTTATCATTACAGCGACTGTCTACTTTGTCAGAGTAACAAAATTATTAATATCCTTTTGAGCATCTTTCTCAACTATTACCGTGTCTAATACCTTGACTGCAATAGCCAGCTTTTTTTTTTTTACAGAAGTTAGTTGATGCAGCAATTTAATTGGATGTATGCTACCAATTACAACCAATCAGTGCCCTCAACAGACAGACTGTTAACAATTTGGCTGTGCAGGTAATTGAGGGTTATGATTGGCTGTCCTCGGTCACATACAATCCAATTCTATTAATATACTGCCTAACAGACGCATTTTGTTATAACTTGAAAATGTTCATTCACTTTTCTTTATTTGTGAAATGGAAAAGTTTCTACATAGATATCATTTTGATTAGACATGCACAAAATAATTTATTTTCACAATAAACATCAACAAGTCAAAGTTATACATGAAATTTAAATGACGCACCATTGTCCATTTGAAAGACAAATGAATGAAAATGGACAATAGTTACCTGAATTTGTATAACCAACTACAGCCACTGACATAAACTCTTTTTTAAGTCGATTATTTCTTAATAAATCCCTCTGTCTTTCAATTTTCTCAAGAGCTAGCCTTATTTTATTTTCTCTTTCCTATAAAAGAAGTTTCAAAATATTACCAATTAAAATATTCAAATTAAATATTCAATTCAGAGTCTTATCATTATGAACAGGTTGTATATGATGATAACAATGTCAAAGATGATAGAGACATTCACACAATGGGATACTTGTATTGCCAGCATAAGTTTCACTTATAATGAATATAGTAAACAGAAACAGATGTCTAGACAGACTGTTTGAACAAACCTTACATTAAAGGTGTATTCAAATTCACATATTTTGGCAAAGACAAAGATAATAACTTACAGTTTCCATTGATTTTGAGACAATTTTACCTTATGCTCCATTTGTAAAAATGCTTTATAAATCCAAGTAAGCAAGACATCAGTTATGATAGAATAATAAGAACCTGAAGCATGAGTTTACGTCGACTAATATGAACAGGACCAGTACCACCAATAAAACGTGAATCTCCAATTTGCTTATCAAAAATACCTTGATGTACTTGACCCAATCGCTTCCTAAAAACAACATTACTAACATGAATACTAAGCAACACGTTAAAATGTCTTCGTGACAATATGTTGTTCTACTGAACTACCAAAGGCTCCATTGTATTCAAATGACATTAGTCCGAGATTCAAAAAATTTTCTTCATGTATTGACTTAACGTGATGTAGTATAACAGCATAAGAACAATCATAAGAAACTCAAAACTGAGCAATTTTCTTGACCACAGTAGAATTGATTCCTTAAACAATGCTCACTTATCCAAGATTTAAGTTATAATTTGGGCGATATATTTTCAGGACAGAGCAAAACCTACTCTATTAATTGATAAACATCACCTTGTAAAACATTTTATATGGATCTGGTTTCAGTTCTTATATTTCCCTTAAAAAATAACAACTTCATAAAAAATATTGAGAAATAACAAATGCCTACCGTAAAAATGGAATTTCTGCTAGTGCAATCTGTAATTTTGATTCCTTAGTTCTTGCATGGTCTTTGAATATTTGTAACACTATTGCATATCTGAAATAAGATAGAGATTCATATACATACTAACACTCTTCCCCTTGTAGTGTGCAATAAGGGATATCTAACTCTTGACTTGAGTCAAAGCTGAGACACCTCTGTTGTATTTTCCAACTTTTAATTCAACATAATTCATATCATAGATAGGTAGGTCTGTGTTATATAAAAGCTTTCCTTTTCATAATTAACACATTTTCTGAACTACATGTATATGTTCTAAGTCTTTGTAGATTACTGTCAAATATTACTTGATAAAACATACCTATCAAAAACTGGTACTCTCCATGCTTTCTGTAGAGCAGCAAGTTGAACACTAGACAACAAATCAACACCTACTAAAACTCCACTTATTCTTATATTCTGACGAATTTCAGATTTTAGTTGTCGAAATTTCTCTTTTTGAAATATTTGGTCTGATTTCAGAAACTTTACAGACACTAATTTCTGAAGAAAACAGATGTAGGGATAAAGCTACAGTCTTGTCTGCCAGATGAAGATAAGCAGCACTGTGCATTTGGGTAAAGTTTGAATTAGATTGTATAGTTTATTTCATAGTTTATATTTAACCTACAATATGATACAATTATTAAAAAACAAAGTTCTCTCTACATCAGCTGAAAAGTAGGAAGTAAAACTTCATTCATTTTCATTTCATCTTAAATTCCATAACAAACTAAGCTTACCTTTTCTACAACTTTCCAGTTGGGTAGAGTTTCTACCAATGTACACGTTTCTTCTAATCTTAATGTGGATGATGTTAGCTTGTTTTTATGTGGACCCCATTTTACATCTAAATAAAAAAAATAACAAACCTTAAATTGAACTGAGTGAAATAATTCAAATGTAATCAAATCTGCCTTCTTCTTACTTTTTCCAGCTTTGATTTGAATGCAATAATCTCCACTCTGAAAAAAATCATAGATGCTCGATGATGAAAGAAAAGAGACTAATAGGGAAAACAGCTTATGCTAACGAAGATCTTGAGGTATCAAATGGTATCTCGACCAAACTTTTGTCAATGGTCTTGTTCGTTTGACTCTTCACATGAGCTTTTTAAAATTTTGTGACTATTCTATCTCAGGTATAAATCTTTGCTAATTTACATGAGTGTATACACAAGAGGAGTTAATAATATTACCTGGTTGAATTACTAATAATCTATGACCTAAATCTGGTATATGACATATATTCCGTATAAATGACTGATAATCCTTGTCCTTAAATAATTCATCTGCTTCCTCTGAAATTATTATTTACATTCAGCATATATTTCATACAGGTATGTTTCCAGCTTTCAAGGGTAGAGTTCATGGGTAGATACCTTCACTTAAACATGCAGATGGTTCACTGTTATTTTAATTGATTCATATTACAGGTGATTTTATAAAAGATGAATATCATTAAAAAATTTACCATTACTGGGGACTTCATTTTGAATAAAATCCTTGTCATCAAATTTTGACATGTGACGTATTGCTTTATATTGACAATATGACAAACGATTTGAAATTCTTAATATTCTAAGACTTGATTTCTTCATCATTTGAACTTTAAATGCATCACATCTCTTTGTTGAATATGTACATAATACTGAATACTCAACATGAGGAACATTTCTGATGAACTTCAACATCTCTGAAAAGAACAATTTGTATCTAAGTTTTACATACTTTTCCAAATTATATAACAGTTTGCTTATTAGCCACTGTTCTACGTAAAGTTTTGGTATTCAGTGGACTTTGTACATGTCAACTAGCCTACAAAGTGAGTTAACTCGTCTACAAACCAAAAGTCAACTTGTCGACATAAGAACTATTGTAATAAAGATATTATTGGTGAAATAACAATGTTCATTTAAATGGTGATGAATTAATATTCTAATCAAATGTCAGTCACTGGGGACCAGATCTACCAAGCATTGAGACATTGAGAAATACGAATACAAATGGTTGGTAACTTGATAACATTTTCTTACGAAATGAATAGGCTTTCCTTATTGTCTAAGAAAGATTATCAAGAATCATTATTTGAAATGTTTTAAAATTCAATGTTAATTTGTGATTATCCCCAATTTCTTATACTTTGTATTTTATACAGTCCCATTACCTAATTTTGTGCGAACGTAGTTTCATGTATTTCCGGAAATAATAAATAATTTACCTCGAGAGACCTCCATATTTGCATGTTTTGATAGGCATGGCATACAACGTCAACCTGTAGAATTTTTCCTACAGTTTCAAAGCAATGTCAAATTTATTATCTATTTCTAACATATACAAAATGGCGGATTTCAGTTATTACCAAATGCCACCAGTTTTTATTGGCCAAATTTTCTTATAATCCCAAGCTGTGCTCGGAATTTGTCTGCTTGAATATATTCCAGCGAATGCTAGTGGATTCCATGTCAACAGAAAATTCTGTGGAACACAATGTGGGTCATATTCTTATGTTGTTTCAATACATTTTAGCAATAAATTACTCTTACATTTTACTTATCTTATTTTGTCAGTCACTATTTTTTGTTTTGAATTATTGTTTTTTGAAGGAATTGTCAATAGTTATAATGAATTGATAGTAAAGATAAATACTGGTACCAAGAAATAAAAATTATGCCACTAGATATCCATACAATGTGTGTTTTCCTTGACTTATTTATAGATCAAACATTGTAGGCCTACACGAAAATAGGTAACATTTTGCAACTGTTGTCATGTTTGTTACTTATGAAGTATGTGTGAAGGTGAGGCTTGAGGGACACATTAAGAAAATCGAAACAAACCAGTTTTAATTATTTCCTAAAATATCTCAAGAAATATCTACGACATCAAAATTCGATGTTGAATCCTTATACTTAAACTTATCGGCACAAATTTACAGGCGTTTTTGTGGGTCAATTCGATTAGGTAGATCAGCTATTTTGTGCGTTTGTGAGCCAGGACGATTAGGCTACTCGGTACATTTGTGAGCCAGTTTACCTAAATTAATTTGGCTAATAATCCTAATCGTTCAAGAGGTGGTAAGGCGATTCGATAAGGCTTTTCCAAGATGGCGGCAAGTGGAAGTTGGAAGTCTTTCATTGGTTGTCAGCAGAGGGATCCATATTGCCAAATCGCCGATTTGAATTTCGCTTTTGTGGACCACTGCTAATTTAAACCAAATTGCACCAAATCGTACTACCTAATCGAATCGGCCCACAAAAACGCCCCTTGTTACCACTGAAATGTTGTATCATTCGTTGTTTTTTTTGTAGGCTAACAATACAAGTCTTTACAAGTTCAAAAGTAAAATCAACGAACTACTTATTTCTAATTTATAATAATATGGAGCCTAACTACCCTAAGAAATCCAAAGCTTACATTAATGTCTTACTGTTAGTTAAAACGTTTTGTACGAGCTCTTTATTTTGTTGTTTATGGGCGCATCCATCTTGGTTTAGTTCAAATTTTAAACCTTACCTGCTTTTCTGTTTTTTTTTTTAAGAAAAACGAAATATATTCAGAATTCCTAAAGGGGCACTCACACCATCACAAGTAAAGCCTAAGTATGGCTGAAAATAAAAATAATAATGGTCGTAGGTTCCAAACGCAACTCATATGTATCTAAGGGATTTTGTAAAGTACACAACAAACATGCACTGATGCAGGTCTTTACAAAAAGAAGCACAGAGTAGGCCTAGGCTAATTTTGGAAAATGGGTAGGCCTACATTATATCTGTTGTGATCGTGTTGCGTGCGTAGCTTCCTTGTTGCGTTAATGTTTCGTATAATTTGATTGCAGAAATTTGAAAAGAATAATTGAACATGTTCAACATGAATTTACAAACATACTCAATGTGTGTCTTTGAAACTGTTTAGTTGCAAGCAAAGTGTTTCCTGAACTAATGACTTTTTTTTAATTCGCAACCAAACACAACTTGCGATCACTTTGGTGTATAGGAACCTCTAGAACAAAATGGATTTTGCTAATCGTCACACACCACCGATAAATGCTCACATCACAGGTACAAGTCTACCCAGCTATACGAATGGAAACTATGCCACGTCCCCGACGAGTAATTATCTCGGTCAAGCGTCGACGGCATTATTTCATCCCGGTACTAACACACAGGGAAATCTAGAACACTTTATAACTGATATTTATCAAAAATTACAGAAAATGGATTTGCTCGATCAAATAAACCAAAGACTGTGTACCATGGAAAGTAGGTTTGATTCACTAGAAAGGACGATCTATGGAATGAAAACAGAGATAGGTAGTCAAGCCGAACGATTGGATGGGTTGGAATTTCAGAGATCACTGGTTGATGACCGTATGCATATGTTGGCGATAGAAAACAAGGAACTGAAAGAGAGAATGTTGGATATTCAAACTCGTTCAATGAAAGATAACCTATTATTTGGTGGGATCGAGGATACCGGAGATATCAACGAGAATACAGAGGAGATTGTTCAGACATTTATTAAAGATAAACTTCAGATTTCTGAAGATATACGCTTCCATGTTGTGCATCGTCTCCGTAAACAACCGGATGGGAAACCAAGGACTATCGTGGCAAAATTCGAGAGTAGTAAGGACAAAATAAAAGAGACTCTAAGAGAATGGAGACCTTATTCGGTTTATGAACAATACCCTCAAGAAATTAACGAAAGGCGCAAATTACTAATAACCGTATTCAAAGATGCGCGCCGACTTGGCAATAGAGCATCTCTAAATATCGACAAACTGTATATTAACGGACGGCTTCACCGCCCAGGAGAATCCCTACCCCCTCAGTTCACAAGAAATCAAGATCCGCCCAATGTGTTACAAAACTAGGACAACGTAACGAGAGGTTACAACAATAACAATGTGAATGAAACTCTGATTAAACTAACACATCTAAATGTTTGTGGGGTCAAAAGAAAGTTGTTGTTACCCGAATTTACTGATCTAATTAACTCATTCGATTTATTGATCTTTAGTGAATGTAAAACTGATCAGTATGATGTATTACAGCTTCCTGATGGATACCCATACTTTGCAAAACATATAGACAAAAGTTCGTGAGGCGATCAGGTGGAATCATGGTTGTTTACAAAAATGACCTTAAGTCACATCTAAAGTTTCATGTAACAACTTCTGAATTCGTTCTGTGGCTTAGTGTATCAAAAAATGTGCGTAACATTGATTTTGATATATTAGTAGGTTGTATCTATATACCCCCCGAAAATTCTCGATACACCTCACCTGACGCATTTGCCGAAATTGAGAATGAATTGATTACTATTATGGGAGACGTTAATTGCAAGCCTGTACTTATAGGTGATTTCAATTCTCGTACTCGATGTAACCCTGATTACACTATACCAGATAACGACTTGATAGAAACTCTCGATATTGATGTCAGTGATATACACTTATTTATATGATTTTGAAAATCTTTCGAAATATGATGTCCCACTAAATAGATCTAGTCAAGACACTAGTGCACCTAGTAGCTCTTAGAAATGTGCAAATGTAATAATCTCTATATATGGTAGAATAGACCAAGATAAAAATGTAGGTAAAGCTACATGTAGTGGCACAAGTGTCATTGATTATGTATTAATGTCATCTAAGATAATTAATATTATTTCAACATTTGAAATACAAGATTTTAACCCATTATTCAGTGATGTACACTCTAGAATTGATGTATCTTTCAAAAGTTCTCCCGATATAGTAAATTATAATCAACCTGATAACAGTATAACACATAGCTCGTATACCAAATGGAACTGTGCAAAAAAAGATGTCTTCACTAACTTAGTTAATACAAATGTCGATATTATACAAAATATAATATCAAATTTAAGTAACATATCAAGTACCCAAAATAAGGATACTATACGTCAAAAAATAAATAAGTCTGTTGAAGAAATATGCAATTTATTTACAAATTCAGCGATAACTGCCTTTGGGTTAACAAACATAAAAGGAAAAACCAAATATAAAAAAATAATATGGAAAATAAACCCTGGTTTAATAAAAATTGTAAGCTATACAGAACAAAATTCCATAACGCAATGAAAAAATATTCAAAACATAAAAATATTAACAATAAAGATAGCATGAAAATAGCAAGTAAAGAGTATAAAACTACTCTTAATGCAGCATTCAACACCTTTCAATTTAATGCTGAAAACGAAATAAGAATCAAATCAAGTCATGATCCCAAATCGAAACTACTTGATAGTATTTGTGGAAACACTAAAAATAATAAAGCTGATATCAAAATAGATGAATTATATGATTATTTTAAACAATTGAACAGCTCTGATCAGATAGATGAACACTTTGATACTTCACTTGACTGTGAAAATAACTTCGGTGATATTCTTAATTCACCAATAACTGACTCAGAAATAACGGAAGCTATAAATAACCTTAAATCTATTAGAGCTTGTGGCATCGACAACATATACAATGAATACATAAAATCAAGTATTGGGACATGTCTCCAATTATACAACATACTTTTTAATACGGTACTTGACACAGCGATAATACCAGAAGTCTGGTCAATCGGAACTATACGACCAATTTACAAACACAGGGGTGACCCGAAAAATCCAGATAACTACCGAGCCATTACTTTAATTTCCTGTTTGGGCAAGGTCTTTACCTCTATTTTAAACAAAAGATTGAATGATCTCGCTGAAGAAACAAATTTAATATCCGACTGTCAAGCAGGTTTTCGGAAAGGATATTCCACAACCGATAACATGTTTGTCTTACAATCCCTAATAAATATATAGCTTGCATTTGGGAAGAAACTGTACTGTGTTTTTGTAGATTTAAAAAAAGCATTCGACACTGTGTGGCGAACAGGACTGTGGCAGAAATTACTAAAGTGTAATATTCGTGGTAAAATATTCAATGTTATTTATAACCTATATTATGACACTAAATCGTGCGTCAAAAATAGGGATGATATATCTGGATACTTTTCATGTAACACTGGCGTACGCCAGGGAGAAAACTTATCACCATTTTTATTTGCTATCTTTTTAAATGACATTGAAGACTTTTTCACAAACAATGACGTCCCAGAACTCCATCATATTAATTCATTAAACATAACTAACATTGGTTTATATCTTCGATTATTTTTATTGTTATATGCGGATGATACTGTTATTTTGTCTGAAACGGAAAATGATCTGCAAAAATCTTTAGACAGCCTTGAACTTTACTGTAAAACGTGGAAATTACATATCAATTTAGACAAGACTAAGGTTGTTATTTTCTCCAAGGGAAAAATTAAAAAGAAAAATAAATTTCATATATTTAATAATGAACTAGAGTTTAAGGATTCATATACATATCTATACCTCCTTATCAACTTTAATGGTAAATTCTCCAAAGCAAGACAGCAACTAATAGATCAATCACAAAAGGCCCTGTATGCCTTATACCTAAAAATACGAAATATAGTGCTTCCAATCGATATACAATTAAAATTATTTGATATGCTAATTTCACCTATTCTTTTATATTCAGTAGAAATCTGGGGCTATGAGACTTGCTCGGATATCGAACGAATACACCTTAAATTCTGTAAAAGAATACTTAATCTTAGAACATCCACTCCAAACTTCATGGTTTATGGGGAAATTGGGCGATATCCACTCGATATAACAATAAAAACAAGATTAATAACATACTGGTATAAATTAATAAACTCGAACAAACTATCGACTAAATTATACAATCTAATGTATCAACTTCACATAACAGGAAACAAAGAATTTAAATATTTGAACTTCATTAAAGGGATACTAGAAAATACTGGAATGTCATATGTTTGGTTGAATCAAAACATAATTACAAATACTGTTAATTTGCACTACACTAAAACAGAATCTATGTGATCAATATATTCAACAATGGAACTGTGATGTTTCAAACTCGTCTCGAGGAACATTTTACGCTATATTTAAAACTGAACTTAATATTGAAAAATATCTAATTAAATTGAAACCATTTCACCGAAATATTTTTTGTAAATTTAGAACATCAAATTTAAGATTACCAATTGAAACAGGTCGATGGGTTAAAATTCCCAGAATCGAACGAATATGCCCGTTGTGCAAAAATGAGATCGGAGATGAATTCCATTATCTTTTCAAATGTCCGAACGAAAACATCGTAACTCTAAGGATAAAATATATACCTAAATACTACCATACTAATCCATCTCTATTAATAATGAAGGGATTGATAAGTTTATGCAACTGCAAAGTTTTGATTAACCTGTGCTATTTTTTGTCTAAATTAGAAAAAGAACTAGTCGGTTACAAACCAAATTAATTATAATTTTATACAATTTTATTATATATATTTTATACTATTGCACTTTATTTATTATATTGTATGTATATATATTCTACACTCTGATTTTTGTACATATTCGAATATACATGTTTCATGTAACCTCTTGTTACCCACTCTGTGGGTTTGAGTTGAATAAATAACTTGAACTATTAACTAATTATTGCCCTCTCTTAGTCTCTTTAACTCAACTGATCTCACTGGACCTTGTCACCTTCTGTCATTGGCCAACTGAGTGAGTTTTCAGTGAGTTTCATCACCTGTCCAGTCAGAAACTTGACTTTTACCTAAGTCCTAAGAAGAAGGAAGTATATTTCAACCTCCTTGAAATACTGGATATCTACTTCTTCTTTATTCTTTTTCATCACCAGTTATTTTCTTCTAATAACTTCACAGGTATGTGTGTTTTTGGTATTTTATTGTGTAATTGTCCTTCTGGGAAACTATATTTTGTATGAGAGGTGTATAAATGTAACCATGGTATTTTAAGCAACTGCAGCCATCTTGAATTTTTATGCTTTGGGATCTTTTGTGTTCAATATATTCATAGTCTTTTATTTAATTCCTAAGTGTTATAATTACCTTTTAATTATAATTACATTCACAGGTTTAGTTATAGATAGATATAGTTATAAATATTTCAACAGCTTTATATAAAACCCCATCTTTGGGTTAGTTTTACTTTTATATATTTAATCTTATTTCATCTAGTCCCTGGCATAAGTTTCCCTCATTGCATATTAAGTTTAACATATATTACTAGTATAGAAGTGTAAATAGGTATTGTGCATTTACTGTAATAATAATTCTGTGATAGTTCATTATTAAGATATAGTATTTTATCATTGTATTATATATCAAATTGTATCATATTATTATTACAGGGTATTATTATTAAAGATATGAACTGAGAACATCGTTTTTGATATAACAACTGAACTAGCCCGGCTACATTATAGGTTCGTATCGAATGTTTCATTAGCTATTAGCTTTGTACCTTACGTAAATGTGGTTACTGTGGTTACCACTACAGTAAGGTCTAACACTGTCCTTCTTGACATATCATTCTGTTAACCTTTGCCTGACCTCTGATTCGGTCTAATTTTAACTAGACTGCTAGTAGCACGCATAACTCTTAAGTTCAGGATGCAACTCACTCTATCGCACATAACTCATACGTCAATGATTATAGGGAGATCAAAAGTTCAATTTGCATCCTATAAGAAGCCAAAAAGTAACCCACAGGAATACCACACGCATCTTATACACAATCCATAGGTCGAAAATGAAACTGTTGATTTCGGCACCGTTTGGTGAGTATACCAAATATACAGAATATACAAATTAAAGGTTTCATCTAATAGGCGATATGGTGTGAGGGCCCCTAAAAGGCGACAAGAAATGGACTATGGTCGCGGGAAAACTAAAGAAAAAGTCCCTAAAATATAAAATTACAAACATAA